CCACAAGGGAATCGTAATACGGACTTACAATCGCTCCGGGATAAGGTGATGCGCTGTCAATTCTAATGCCCATCCCTTCGCCTGTCCTGAATACCTAACGATTGACGATTATTGCAGGACGTAAAGAAAGTTTCAAGCATTGAAAGATGAAATAGAAAATAAGAGATTACTTCTATTCTGCCGGTATCAGGCCTGAAAGCTTTTGTCGGATCTTCTGTAGTGACACGGGCTTGTATAGCACATCCGAAATGTTTGATTTTGTCTTGAGACAACCCCATCTCTGGGAGTGTCATACATTCGGCGACTTTTATTTGAGACTGAACCAGGTCAACCCTGAAAAATATGTAAGTATGTTTCTTGTGTGAAAAATACTAGTACATAAGTGATTTAGTTAATAAAAATTACCCAGTGATTTCTTCTGTAACAGTGTGCTCGACTTGGAGGCGAGCATTTACTTCTATAAAATAAAATTTATTTTGTGCATCGACTAGGAACTCGACGGTTCCTGCATTTTCATACCCTACGTGTTTCGCTAGTTTCAGTGCGCTTTCAAGTATAGCATCTCGAACCTTAACAAAAACATACAATTATAAAATGAGAACAAAGGCAATCACATCAATTTAACTCAAAAAATAATTTACTAAAAATAAAATAATTTAATTTTGTATTCAAGATGATAATTCAGAAAACGATTCATTTACCTTTGAATCCAAATTCGGCGCAGGGGCAATTTCAACTACTTTCTGATGTCTTCTTTGGACTGAACAGTCTCTTTCTAATAAATGGACGATGTTACCAGCTTTATCCCCAAGAATTTGCACTTCAATATGTCTCGGTTTCTCAATAAATTTTTCTATAAACATAGCTCCATCGCCAAAAGCAGCGGCGGCTTCGGAGCTGGCTCGCTCAAATGCTTCCGCCACATCCTGTTTAAAGGAAATTATTTGAGTATAACACATTTTAAATAAAAAATACACATCTTGCTTATACCTTCATTTCCCTGACGACTCGCATTCCTCTTCCACCGCCGCCGAAAGCCGCTTTGAAAATTACAGGGAGCCCATGCTTCTTGCAAAATTTGACTGCTTCATCTGATGATTTTACTGGTCCAGGTGTACCTGAATATAATATATAAGATAAATAAACCGAAACAAACATTTTTTTAAATTTAAACTGACCGGGAACAATCGGCACTCCGGAGGCAATCGCCGCATGTTTCGCGGCAACTTTATCTCCCATCTGCTCAATGACTTTGGGGGAAGGACCTATGAATCTCAGACCCGCGTCTATGACAGCTTTTGCAAAATCAGCACGCTCCGAAAGAAATCCATAGCCAGGGTGGATTGCATCAACACCATTTTCCTTTAATTTCCAGATAGTTCAGTTACTAAATTATAAATTGTAGTCAAATGTTTGCATTTTTACCTTTGCGACTTGGACGATTTCAGGGATGTTGAGATAGGCCTGAACCGGTTGAAGCCCTTTTCCTATTACATACGCCTCATCTGCTTTTTGCCTGAACATCTGCATTTTGTCCTGCTCTGAATATATGGCTACTGACTTTTTTCCCAATTCAGCACAGGCACGAAATACCCTGACGGCAATTTCCCCTGATGAAAAAAAAGGATTAAGCTCTCACATTTTTTTTTTTTTTAGAATAGTTGATGTTTTACCTCGATTGGCTACTAAAATGTTTTTAATTGGTCTGTATTCCACTTTCTTGTGGGAACTTTGTCTTTGGGACATTGTCCATCCGATGTTATGACTAATCCTCGTCATTATGTGGTACGTGTTCTTCAATGCAGACAGCATTGTGATATATAAAATATAGTCAAACAGTGAAAGTAAAATAAATAATATGTGATAATTCCCTGTAACTGTAAAGCGAGAGTACTGATTATAATTAATGCTTAAACGTAAAAAAATTTAAAACTCAACATTCGTCATACATTTTAAATAAAAACATTTAGTTTGATATTATTTTTTAATACAATAAAATTTAAAGAAAAACCTGAATATTGAATGACAGTTAGCAGATCGATGTAGTAGTTGAGTTTCTTCAAATCTTCAAAGAAGTATAACTATTTAAAAAAATAAAAAAAAATAAGGAAAAAAATTACACTTAAAAATTAAATTTTATTTTCATGGGAAACAAACACATGCTTTAGGTATGAATTTAAGTCCAATAATAATTAATTCAAATCACAATTTAAAAAATAAAACTTTCTTCTGTTAAAACTTTCTAAAAAAATTGAATTATAATTTTCTCTAAACAATTAACCATTGGTATGAAAATTAAAATATAAAGTTTGACTTTCGATCTTTGCAGGTGTAAGGTATTCAGAGTAGTCAATTGGCATAAATTGTTTTACTGTAATTCATGCGTACATACCGATGAAGATGGAAGTTTTTTAAATAATCAGATTGATAAACTCTTCTTGTCTTCTTTACTAATTCCTCAAACAGAAAGAACTGATTAGTAAATATATTTTATATTAAATGTTATTTGAAAATGAATTTTCGTATCCGTGGTGATTGATCTACACCTGTTACACTATGGCAAATGCTTTAATATTTCAATAATTTAATTAATCCATTTTTTAAAACTACTCTAATATGTGACTATCTTTTCAAAAATGCAATACAGAAACGATTTACTTATTAAAAAACACAATGAGATTGAAAACAAAAGTTGTTTTTATAATTGAACGTAACAATGCTGAGATATTTTTGTTTTATCGATCTACAAATATTGCTAAATGTCCAAACAGATTTCCATAAAATTTTAGTTTGGAAAATATATTATCTTTTTCTTTAAAAAAAATTACTATGGATTAATTAAAATAATTAAGTACATTATTATGTTAAATACAAGCGCCGGATCGGCAGAAAAGGTCTTACGTATTAAGAGCACTGTCAATTGGTGGCCCTTGGAGGACCAGACTCATAGAAGGGTCATCCTCATCCGATTAAGAATAAACCCTGTGAGCTTGACACACGAGCACTTAATTTTGAGCCAAATTCCACGTCTCCATCATGCAGAGAAAGGCTGCTCCCATCTAATCTAAGTGATTGGGTGGCTCTTTATAGAGAGCGCATAGTGATATGAAAAGAATTCCTATCATAACACAGGATCTTCAAGACATAAGAATTTGTTTTTAATTTTTTTGCCTGAGGGACGTAATAAATGAAATTCCAGCCTGCGTCGAACGTGTTAATAAATATAAAAAAATTGACTTTCAATCAATCTTTGGGAGGTACATGGTATTGAAAATAAGCACTTCAAATGTATTTTTTTAAATAATCAAGAAAAAATACCAAAATATTCAAGCAAATTTTCCTATACATGTTTTGCAATTTTGTTTTAAATGTTATCTGTGATTAAAATTGTTCATTTAAAAAATACTTTATATAAATTATTTTACTTAACATGCATTTACATACCAATAAAGAAGAAAAGATTTTCAAGCTGACAAGTTGATTCAATTTTCTTGCCTTCAAACAAATAAAACTGATTAGAAATTATATTTTTTATTTAATGATATTTAGAATTGAATTTTCGTATCCATAGTAATTGTGCATATGTTACGCTATGGTAATGCAAACCTGCTTTATTATTTTCTATTTAAATTGTTTATTTCCCCCCTCAAAAATTCATTTCTGAAATGCTATACCGATTAATGGTTTGATGACTGAACATAACAATTAATATGCTGAGATAAATTTTTAAAATTAATATCATGAGGTACTTGAATAATTATGTTATCAAGTCGATTTAAATAAACTTTAATTCTCTAACCAGATCACAATATAATTTTAGAAAAAAACGTATTTATAGTTCCTTTTTCCTTATAAATAAAGTACAGGGGAATAATTAAAGCATTATATATTTAGTTAATATATTTTACAATCATAAACTTAAAAAAATTTCTCCATTACTTCATTAAATACATTCAGTTCAATATTTTTTGTTTTTTACTTATTACTCTGGAAAGCCTAAGGAAGAGGATAATTATATCCATGGACGAGAACCTTGGTGGAATTCAAAAATAGATGCTTTACAAATCTGCATTCAACAAACTGTATGGGTCTGGAGCTGGTGTTTACGAAAAAAAAAAGACTTAAGTTCATATAAGCCTTGGACATCATACCACTGTGTATCATGTAGAGGATGTGGCTATGGAACACTGTGCAAAGGAGATCAAAATGTTGGGTATTACCAATGAACGAATAGCCATTTTCTTGGACAGCCGGGCAGTTGTAAAGACCAGTTTTGGGATTGCATGAACGCCCAGTCAGAGTTTGGGAATAATAACAAAATTACTCTTATTTGGTATCGGATTAATGAATAGGATAAATTGGCCAAGGAATGCTCGGTGAGGGAGTTAGGAGGTAATTCCAAATTTTTTTATCGTCGTGTGAGGCAAAGAAATGTATGGATATATATGTCCTAAGCTCCTTACTTTTTCCTTGTTCATCGATGATCCCTCTTCAATCTTGGACTTTTTGAGTGTTTGTTTGTTGGGCTTTAGAAAGATAATGATCTCCTGTCATAAATGGAATCTCATTGTCAACCTTGTTAAATCAATGATAATCATGTTTAGAGGACGAGGCAAGCCTGTTAAGTCTGAGTTTATCTGAGTTGAGAGGTGGTAAACCAATAAAAATATCTTGGTGTTGTCCTAACACCTAACTTGTCTGACTATAGATATACATATTTTGAGTAACTCAGGTTATCAACATTGAGATTTATGAACATCGCATGCAATCCTAAAACAGGTATCTCCTTTTTATGGACCCAGAACATTCTGAGGCAGCTTTTAACTCAACCAAAAAGGTAGCTCTCAGAAACTCCCTGCTCTACGATGGCTAATTAAACTTAGGTGCAAACAAGTGTTTTTAAAGTCTGTGCCATGGAAGAGTAAGATTCTTTATTGTAAATAAGGTGTGTTATCGATCTATCCTTTTTATGTTATTTGGAATCTTACGCAATCTTGATTTTTCTTAGATGTATTTTTTAAGAAAAATTATGTTTGGTTCAATGATATAAACCATGGAACCAGCTTGACATTTGGCATACAAGTTTTATCACATACCCAAAATCATTTTCAAAAATCTAAAGATATTTTTTTTTCATTTCTTTTGAAAATCAAGTTAAAAGTTTGTTTGTTATTTATTAATATTAAACCTGGAAATTTGTATAGATCTACACACATTTAAATTTTATAAAGGAATATAAGAATTTTATAGCATTGCAGTAATAGAATATTTTAGTGGTACCTATTATTTTGTTAAACAGATTTTCATTTTCCTATTAATCGTGAAACGTAAAAGTAAAAATTCATTTTTATATTTTTATGTTGTTGCTAGTGATCTGTACTGTCTGTAATAATCTAAAGACATACCTGATGTTTAGAAGTTAATTCACAACTCGGCAAGCTGATATAGTTTAGTTAAACACAATTTGCAAGAAGTAGAACTTTAGGCACAATATTTCGAATTCAAATAATATTTTTAAATGAATTTTCATCACCATGGTAATCATTTCATCACATGTGCACATCAAATTAATAGATTTTATTTTAAAGCGTTTTTTCCCTAATTAAAACTATTATTAATATTATTAAAGAGAAACCTCCAACAGGAATAAAACTAAAATGGAGAGACAGCAACAAAATAATAAAAGACCATCCAATAGTCATGGCTCCAAGAGACGACATGAACAGGATGTTTAAATTTAATTAAAACATCCAAATAAACCTAGGTAACAAAAAAGAGTGAGAAAGAGGGGAAAACACCTTCTTTAAGAGTGACACCATCTTTTGGTATGGATGGATTGAGAACACAAGAAGGTATAGGGGTTGGATATTCTCCTTCACAAATTCTCAGAACCCATGGGAAAATACATCAATATCTTCCAAGCTGAAGTTCATGCAATCTAGAGATGTACTCGATTCAGCTTGACTAAAGGGTACAAAAACAAGAACATAGCTATCATGTCAGATAGCCAAGCTGCCATCAAAGCATTAAGCTCAAATATCATTAGGTCAAAGGTGGCGTTGAACTGCAAAACCAAATTAAACTTATTAGGTACGCAGAACAAAGTCAGCCTTTGCTGGGTCCCAGGACACATTGGAGTAGAAAGCAACGAGAAAGCGGACACCCTTGCACAGAAAGGGACTGCTATACCGCCAATACCCTTCTGTGGCATAGGAAGGAACCCACACTATCAATGAGTACATCAGACAGAAGGACAAAAAGAAAATGAAGGAACAATGGAATTCACTCGTTGGACACGGGCAATCCAAGAATCTCCTAACAAACAACAAAGCAAAACAAGAAAAGAAATTACAGAATGTGTCAAAGGAAGCAGGAATGAACTGCGAATCCTAACAGAATTATTACCAGGACACTACAAGCTAAATGGACATTTAAAGAAGAGTGGAGTAATCCAAGACGGCACATGCAGATTCTGCAAAGAGGCAGAGGATAAAACATCACAGCTATTAACAAACTGTGGTGCAACACTTGTCCGCAGGTAGAAGTGCTTTGGGTTGTACAATGTGACCAAAGAAGAGGTTCAACCACTGAAACCAGGCCTACTAATCAAGTTCCTTGATAAAATAGGAATTACCGGTATGCTTTAGGCAGAGAATGGGGATACAATAACTCGTAAAGGGCGAGTATATTACATGTAGATCTATATTCATTTTCATTGTTTTTATGCCGTTGCTAGTGATCTGTACTGTCTGTAATAATTTAAAGACATACCTGAAGTTTAGAAGTTAATTCACAACTCGGCAAGCTGATATAGTTTAGTTAAACACTATTTGCAAGAAGTAGAACTTTAGACACAATATTTCGAATTCAAATAATATTTTTAAATGAATTTTCATCACCATGGTAATCATTTCATCACATGTGCACATCAAATTAATAGATTTTATTTTAAAGAGTTTTTTCCCTAATTATTATTATTAATTTTTAAGGGCGTTTTAACGGCTAAGGTTTTTTCCCTAATTAATGCTATTATTAGTATTATTAAAGAGAAACCTCCAACAGGAATAAAACTAAAATGGAGAGACAGTAACAAAATAATGAAAGACCATCCGATAGTCATGGCTCCAAGAGACAGGATGTTTAAATTTAATCAAAACATCCAAATAAACCTAGGTAACAAAAAAGAGTGAGAAAGAGGGGAAAACACCTTCTTTAAGAATGGCACCATCTTTTGGTATGGATGGATCGAGAACACAAGAAGGTACAGGGGTTGGAGTATTCGGTCCTGAAACGTCAGAACCCATGGTACTCATGTCATCACATGTGCATTTCTCTATATCAAATTATTAATTTAATTTTATTTTTTGGCTTTGTGTCCCCACATCTAGCTATGGGGAGATTTTATATTCAAAATGATTTTTCCTAATTGTTTATGGTTTACGATTGTTCAGTTCTACCGTTCTAAAAACGGATGATTTGAATTTTAGGCAAACTGATTTGTAAAAATGATGAGATTAATAAAAAGTCTAGAACATAGTGAACGTTTAGGGAATTTTGACCTGACTTGTGCATAAACATTAAATAGAATGTTGATAATGCATAAATAGAAACACAAGCACTGTTGGCAAACCTGAAATAAATAATATATATAGTTTATTAATTTATTATATCAATTTTAAAAATATTGACAGACTTCAATCATCTTCCTTCACACTTCCTTTATATTGGTTTATATATTTATGTTGTTTAATTAATTTTTCATCATTCCTTCTCATTTCTTTTATATTATTATACACATGTATTTCATGACAAAATACTTAAAACTTTTCATTTGAGTTTGTTATATTGAATATGTCCATATTTTTAATGTGTGGTGTTTAGTTATATTTTTAATTATATGTGAACTGCTCAAAAATAAATAGGGATATTTGTGTTTTATTCTTATTCCATTAATTTTAATTAAATTAACCGATATGTTCTTGTTAGTTGGGTAAAAGAAAATAGAAAATACTAACCATAAACAAACAAATATTAATCTTCATTTTTAATAATGGATTTACCTAAGAATATTAAACATGAAGATTTTGTAAACAAACAGCTTTTCTCGACTTTTTTCTATTTTAATCCAGTTGTACTCTCTTTAACAATGCAAATACATCATCTACTAATCAAGTTCTTTGATGAAATAGTACACATCGGTGTGCTTTAGGTTGAAAACGGGGGATACAATAGCTCATAAAGGGTGCAGTATATTTCACCCCGACTATTACATGTACATATATATTCTTTTTCATTGTTTTTATACTATTTCTAGTGATGTGTCCTGTCTGTAATAAGCTAAAGACATACCTGAAGTTTAGAAGTTAATTCACAACTCGGCAAGTTGATATAGTTAGTTAAACACAATTTGCAAGAAGTAGAACTGTAGACACAATATTTCGATGTCAAACAATTTTTTAAAATGAATTTTCATCACCTTGGTAATCATTTCATCACATGTGCATTTCTCTATATGAAATTTTTAGATTTTATTTTTTGGCTTTGTGTCCCTACATCTATCTAGCCATGGGGAGATTTTATATTTAAAATGATTTTTTTCTAATCATTTATGGTTTACNCATACCTGAAGTTTAGAAGTTAATTGACAACTCGGCAAGCTGATAAAGTTTAGTTAAACACAATTTGCAAGAAGTTGAACTGTAGACACAATATTTCGATGTCAAATAATATTTTAAAATGAATTTTCATCACCATGGTAATCATTCCATCACGTGTGCATTTCTCTATATCAAATTTTTAGATTTTATTTTTTGGCTTTGTGTCCCTACATCTATCTAGCCATGGGGAGATTTTATATTTAAAATGATTTTTTTCTAATCATTTATGGTTTACGATTGTTCAGTTCTACCTTTCTAAAAATTTGATTTGAATTTAGACAAACGGATTTGTAAAAATGTTGACACAATGTTTCAAAGATAATAATATGGCTAATAGTACACAAAATTTTCTTATTCATTTATCTTAAACCTGGAGCTTTTTATAGATCTACATAAATTTACATAATAGAGGAATACAATAATTTAATAGCATTGCAATAGTAGAAGATTTTAGTGATACCTATTATTTTTTAAACAGATTTTCATTTCCTATTAACCGTGAAATGTAAATATCAAAATTGTTATATTCATTTTCATTGTTTTTATGCTATTGCTAGTGATGTGTCCTCTCTGTAATTCTCTCTTGTTTGGTATCAGGGCAGAGGATTAATGAACAGGATGATAAATTAGCCAAGGAATGATCAGTGAGGGAATTGAGAAGTATTTGCAGTTTAGTATGGCAGTGTGAGGCAAGGAGTTGTCCTAAGCACTTTAATTTTTCCTAAGCCTCTCTTCAATCTTGGATTTTTTTAGTTTTTTTTTTTTTTTGCCCTAACTCCTAACATGTCTGGCTAAACATATACATATTTTGAGTAACTTAGGTGATCAACGTTGAGAGATGTATGAACATCGCAATCCTAAAACAGGTATCTCCTTTTTAAGGGCTTAGAACATTCTGCGGCAGCTTTTAACTCAATCAAAACGCTAACTCTCAGAAACTCCCTGCTCTACAATGGCTATTTAAACTTAGGCGCGAACAAGGCGTTTTAAAGATGGTGCCATGGAAGAGTATGAGTAAAAGAGGATATTTTTCATGTTTTTGCCAATTATTTTATTTTCATGATGATTATCTTATGGTTATCTATCTATAGTTTTCATATTATTTGGAATCATGCTATCTTGATTTTTCTTATATGTAATTTTTAAGGAAAATTCTGTTTGGTACAACGATGTAAACCATTATTTTGGGTTCAGCTGGACATTTGGCATACAAGTTTTTTCATATTACCGAAAATCATGTTCAAAAATCCAAGACATGATCTCATTTCTTTTGAAAATCATAAATTAATCTGTAAATCCTTGGAAATAATTCCCTTCGATTTAAGAGTTAAGAGTTTGTTTATTATCTTTTTTTTTCTTTTATTCATTAATATTAAACCTGGAGTTTTGTATAGATCTACATACATTTACATATAATAGAGTAAGAGAAGAATTTAATAACATTGCAATAAAGAATATTTTAGCGGTACTTATTATTTTGTTAAACAGATTATCCTTTTCCTATCAGTCATGAAATGTAAATGTCAAATTTGCTATTTTCATTTTCATTGGTTTTATGCTATTGCTAGTGATCTGTACTGTCTGTAATAATCTAAAGACATACCTGAAGTTTAGAAGTTAATTGACAACTCGGCAAGCTGATAAAGTTTAGTTAAACACAATTTGCAAGAAGTTGAACTGTAGACACAATATTTCGATGTCCAATAATATTTTAAAATGAATTTTCATCACCATGGTAATCATTTTATCACATGAGCAATTCCCTATATCAAATTATTAGGTTTTACATATATATTTTGTACATCTAAAGATGACCCCTTTGAGAAGGAAAAATCATAAGTTAAACTGTTGAGGTCGAAATATAAGAAAACATTTTATATATCTATAAATAATTGTATATTAACAATTGGGGATTTGTAATTTCATTGAACTTGAAAACATTATTTTAATCCATGTCGTGACATTTTTGAAGTCACGATAGCTCAAGCGGTTAGAGCAGCGGCGTATTGAGCCGAAGGTCTTGGGTTCGAATCCCACTTTGACGCTTTTTCATCTCAACCAAGACCTTAGATAAAAAGTATAATTAATTTTAAATAATTAATACAGTCAATTATGACTATTAAATACATATAAGGATTAACATAATTTTAATATTGTAAGTAGATACTTGTGTTTGTTGTAATTATAGTTTCAAAGTCCTGATGATTGGAATATATTGCTTGAAAGCTCGACGAAAAGCGCTGAATGTTTTCTTTCCAGTTAGGTTTTTTATTTTTATTTATTTTCATTAACTGGAGTTTAATCTTATGACGTTTGTCTTTTTATCCTGGATGCGTTTAATGAATTCTCAAGGGTTTTTAAGAGAAATTCCCGTAAAAGCTGCTGATCCTGGACAAAAAGGAGACAGGCGAGAGCTTTCCCCGAACGTCATATTTTGATGGAGTCTTTTTTTTTTTTTTTTTTTTTTTTTGGAAGGAAGTTTGAAAAAAAAGGGGGCGATGGATTTGTCCGTGTCGGCCGCAGGAGCGCCCCGACCTGAGACTCTCCAAAAATAGCCGTAGTACGAACGACAACAGAAGGGTTTCTGTGAAAACTCTCCTGTTGAGTGGTGAAACGCAGAACCGAGGGGAAAAAGGGAAAAACCGCTGTCGGCCCGAGACTGACACAGTTGTTTAGATGGTCCTCCTCGGATTGTGACAGTCAGACCCCACTGTTGAAAAATGCAGGTCCTGCACGAGCTCGAGGCGGCGGCCAAAATAATGCTGGTAAATACGTTCGACCATCCCTTTAAAATAAGCTGCCCCAATTTAAGGTTATCACACTCCAAAACAAACCTTTGTTTATTGGTGACGGGCGGAGGAAAAAAGTGGCTCAAAATGTTTCCTCCTTTTTCACTTCTAAGCTCGCCCTATTTCTCATCCGTCACTTCGCCAAAAACAATTATTTTTAGTGTTCTGCATGTGGCCTATTTTTTTCTCCATGTAGACAGTACTGCCTTTGACTAGTGTCCTTCCTTTGTTTGAGTCATCAAAGGCTGTAGACTGTAGTCAGTTAGAGTCTGGCATCTATTTGAAAGATTTTGCTTGAGAAAGTTATTTTTGACTTATAGGCCCCTCCATCGCTGATAACACCTGAGCAGAGGGCGGCCGCTGAAGGAATTTTCATCAATTTCCGAAAAAGCAAGACACCCTATCGCTTGTGCAAGCTTATACTCGGTGAGTGTCGATACTTCACCCCCACCATATTTTTTCTAAATTGTCACATTTTTCCAGAGAACAGTGGGGTAGACTACGTGCTGTTTGAATGCGGTTCGACCCTGAAGGCGGCGCTGATCAGGGAATGGAAGCAGCTCCAGCCCCAAGAGATCGTCGAGCTGAGGCAGTACCTGCTTGAGTTTATTTTGCACAAACCGTGCCTTGCGACGTTCGTCAGGGAGAAAATACTTCAAGTGATATCGATAATGGTGAAAAGGGAAAGTGTGGCTGATTTCGGCCAGAGCAGGGCGAGTATCATTGACGAAGTGGAAAAGCTGATACTCGAAGGGGACCTTCAGAAGGTAAGTCCGAACTGTCAGTATTATGTTTTAGAGGCGTGCTGAAGATTGGCCTATTTCAGCAAACGCTCTGCTGCAGCCTCCTCACTTCTCTGATGCAAGAACACGGCAATACAATGAAGTCATCGGATGTCGGACTGACGTGGGAGACTCATTTCAAAATTAAAAAACAATTTGAAATGTCTGATCTCAAGAAGATTCTGACAATTTGCATAAGGGCGCTCACAGAGTTGTCAAATCTTCCAGCTGACAGCCTCCTCAAACAGATCCTTGCGCTGTCTGAAGCGGTATTGAGTTGGGGATTTGTAGCATTGAAACATATCCTTTTTTTTAACTTATTAATCCTATTTAATTTCTATAAAAAAATCTCAAACACAAAAAAATTAATTAAGGTTTTTAGTTGAGATGAATAAAAGTTAAAGGCACGAGAGGGATTCGAACCCACGACCTTCTGCTAGATACGCCGCTGCTCTACCACCTGAGCTATCGTGACTCGATCCACTCCGACATCAACTCCTCATCTCAACCCCACCTTATGAGTTTTCCCTCCTTTTGCCATTTTTCAAATGTTGTGTAATTGGTTTGGACTCTTGAAAAATGGCAAAAGGAGGGAAAACTCATAAGGTGGGGTTGAGATGGGGAGTTGATGTCCGAGTGGATCGAGGTCACGATAGCTCAGGTGGTAGAGCAGCGGCGTATCTAGCCAAAGGTCGTGGGTTCGAATCCCTCTCGTGCCATTAACTTTTTTTCATCTCAACTAAAAACCTTAATTAATTGTCATGTATTAATTGGTCAAGCGGACCACGAAAGTAGTGAATTACATAAAAGAATTTTACCATCAGTTTTAAGTTCTGAATAGCCCTGTATTCACCTAGTTATTTTTTGAACACAAAGTACTAAGAACATTAAGCATTACTGTTTTGTTTTTCTGTGTTTCTGCAATGCTCACAAACCAAAGAAAAAGTGAGAAGTATGCAACTAGATTATAAAAAAGCCTTTTCATCTCAATGAAGTCTGAAAAGTAATAATTAATTAAAACAATTAATATGGCCAATTATGACTATTAAATATATAATTATGGATTTTAAAAGTTGTGTACCCTGAATTCGTTCACACAAATATTAAACCATTTTACTTAAAAAATATTTACATGTTTCCATAAAGAAAAAAAAAAAAAAAACGCTAAATCACAAAAATTGAAAAAATGCAATCTTGTACAGGAAAATGTTAAAACTTGCAGTATTATGCAAAATAAAATTAGTGTAAAAAGAACACTCTTTCTATTCAAATTTTTGTCTTGGTTTTTCATTGCATTCCGAGTAAAAAAGATGCAATTACTAGGGAAATCAGACAAGTCGTTTTGTAAACATATTTCAATTTTTTAAACAGACATCGACCTTAACTGAATAAACACTTGGTAGTCAGTTATCAAATATTATAGTAGGTATCTTCGAGGAATCGTATGAAGCCGAACAGTACCCTTCTTTAAAACTATCAGCTAGTTGGAAGGAACTGTTGCTAGAAAAGAACATAGTGAATCTGTATTTTGATGTGAGTACAATGTTACAAAGAAAAAGGCACAAATTGTAAAAAACAAAGCGTATTACAGGTGTACTGGAAGATAAGGGACAACCCGCATTTGGCTCATTACGCGCTTAACTGTCTTGTACAGTTGGCTTCGCTTAACGGACCTGTCGTATCTAACAAAGAACAAAGATTACAGTATTTTTCTAATTATATTGAACTTTTTATTAAGCTCATTACAAAGTGAGTTACACATTAACTTTGTATGTCGGACATGGAAAATGTATGTACAATAATTTTTTTTATTTTTTTTAGTATTAAAGTGCTCGATAGAGAGGCCCTTGGTATAGCAAACATAATTAAAAACATTATCACCTACTATCCACCATCCCTTATTGTCACTCTACCTCCTTTAATATTGAAACCGTTTTTAGAAAATTTAACAAGACTGACTTGTTTCTTCACCGAAGAAGGCAACGATTACAGTGTAAGTATTTTTCCTTTTTCTACAAAACTACAGTCATTATGTTATATGTAAACATTATTGTGAGATTTTCTCATGTTGTATGCTGGGTGATGAACCTGTAGTCATGCCGTTTCTCATCATTTTGGTATGTCACACTCCTTTCTGCATTTCCCATCTCACCCTCTCTTAAGATGGAAAGAAGTCTAAATCCTTCCGACAATGATCGGACTGCATAAACACGTATTTTATATAAGAATAAATGTAGTTAAGTCATAGAAAAGAACTTTACCTTACAGTGATGAGTGCTGTTGCAACCACTGATGCACCCCCACCCTGTTGTATAAAACATCTCAACTTTCACTTACCATTCAAATCACAATGTTAAAAAGAAAAATCCCTAACTTTATTTTTATTTAAATTTGTAGGAAAACGGTGGGACATACGCTGAGGGGCTTGACACACTTCTCAGGTTATGGCTCACAATGGCTAGTGACAACTCGTACCTAAAAGATTTTGTAAACCAAGCATCCTGCGAAATTTTTCACACATACTTAAAATGTCACCTCGCCCCTCCTTTTGGAACCAGACGTCCGGTAAGTTTACATTTTTATTCAAGTTTATCCGTTGTAACGTTTTTTTGTTGTTGCGTAGGGAGAAGACGATGAAGAAACATGCGAAGAAACGTCTTTTAACAGAGATAGACTTAAAGATCAACTTTTGACAATCGGACTCCTTGGTAGGCAGGTTAGAATTGACATCACTTCCAGTATGTGTAAGCGACAATTAACAATTATTTAAGTTTCCCTTCTACTAACTCTTTAGTCGGGAATTTGCGTTTGATTGAGCATTTGTCACTCTCTAACACAGTACAACACAATTTTTTATGTCCTTCTGCTTTCCACTTTAGAAAAATTATAATTTAGAGTAAGGATAAAAATTAAAAAGGGTCAGAAAATTCTAACTGTAAAGCTTGGATTCGAACCCAGTACCAATGACAAATACCTTTTTCCATGGTCAGTCACATCATTTGCTTCAGACTAATAATCAAAGATAAAATTGCTACAAGAGATTTTTGTCTTTAGTTCTTTAAAAGATTTCAAAGTTTGGAATTCAGAGACTAGTGGTCATTTAAAAATTGCTACAAAACAAATGAACAAAATTGCATACGTAAAAATCAAAATAAAAGTTAAAGGAAAAAAACTAGCTCATACAAATCAAATCCTTTTCCTCCCACCCTCTCATTTAATTGAGTGTAGTTCTTACTGTTATTCCAAGTAGATTTATATTATAATTTTTACTTTAGATTAAATTAATCTTTATGTAAGGTAAGGTATTGGTTGAAATGAAAAAGCTAGTGTCACGAGCAGGATTTGAACCCACGATCTTTGGCTCACTACACCGCTGCTCTAGCCACTTGAGTTATCATGACTTCGATCCACTCGGACACCAACTCCCCATCTCAACCTATGTTTTGAATTTACCTCCTTTTTGCCATTTTTCAAATGTCGTGTAATCTAGATTCGATTCTCAAAATGAAAAGACCACAGAGAGCTCTTAGTGAAAATATACTTCGTTTGACTTATTAAATCCATTATATTTCGAGGACCGATTGACCAAATAACTTCTTTCAATTAATTAATCTTTATGTAAGGTATTGGTTGAAATGAAAAAGCAAGTCGAAGTCATGATAGCTCATATGGTTAGAGCAGCGGTGTATTGAGCCGTCGTGGGTTCGAATCCTGCTCGTGACACTAGCTTTTTCATTTCAACCAATACCTTATATAAAGATTAATTAATTGAAAGAAGTTATTTGGTCAATCGGACCACGAAACATAATGGCTTTAGATTAAAGTTATAAAATATGCTAAGGTATCAGGATACGAGATTACTGAGGAAAATTAAAGTCCTTTTAAATAAGTATTGGCTACTCATATCTTGGACTTTTTTTCCAGGCTCCAGGATTCTCGCTGCCACTCCTGGCTAAACTTCTAGAAGACAGGACGAATGCTTTGAAAACGCTTTTAGAAGAGATTGCAAGCAGAAAGCACGATTTGAATAAGGCTATGGAATGGCTGAACACCCTGTACGACGATATCCATTGGATCATCATGATATCGGGCCATGTCATCACGCTGGAGAGCGTGGGCGAAATAACAATGATGCCTTTGGATCTGTTGGATCACAGCATCCAACAGAAAGCGTCAGTTGAAACTACGCTCAAACTCCTCGTCTCTCCCATTTCAGAAGTACCAGGCGCCGAAGAGGCCGCAGATCATATTGTAAGGTATGTTGACCGACATGAATTTATTTTAAAATTATATTAGTGTTTCTGTAAATATGCTGAACTTGACTTTATAGGATAGTCGCAGCGATGCTACGTCTGAGCGAGTTGGAATTAAAAGTGAACCAAGTCAACCTCGAACCTGGATTCAGCACACAAATAGCTGAAAATATTATGTGGTTTTTTAGGGTGTGGTCTTTTTCATATTTAATGCCTACTGAGAGTTATTATGCCGAGGTAAGTTTCTAATAAATTTTTACACCCTTGACATTAAATTTAAACTCATATGTTAAATAAATTTATCCTTACCAACTACAGAAAAATGAGAAAAACATAATTTTACTAAGGGGATGTTTTATTTCTTATGTCTAATATTAAAATAAAATAAAAATTATTAACCTATATTTTCTTTTCCAGATTAGTATGGCTTTAAATTGTGCATTTGGCCAAAATTCCGAAGGCGCTCTTTGGATTGTAAACAACTTACTGCGGAAAATAGAATTCAATCTGCGCTTTTATAGGAGTGAAGTCATTTTAATCAAAGAGACGATACAATTATTAATTTCACTAGTTGACATGAGAGAAAAGTAATATTTTAATATCAAAATAGATAATGAAAAAACATTGAATTATCTATTTTCAGGGTGAGCTGTGTTTTGAAGAGTGAAAGTTTCTGGGCTTTGGTTGAATCTCAACAGGGGCAGGATAAAAGCCTCAACACCAAAGCTGCAAACAGCGGCGTCATGAAGGCATTTGTCCTGGGAGGGATCGCTCTCGAGAGCGGAGAAAAGCAGGAAGAATACTGGGGCCAAGTAAATTAACTTTTTTGGACTTTACCTGGATCAATAATCTGACCTCGAATTTTTACAGATTATCAAACCTATAGTAAATAGGATGAATGAAATTTTAAACGGAGAGAATTTTAAAAAGACTTATCAACAAGTGAGTGTTAGGAGTGAGATACAAACGATCCTCGAACTGATTATCGGCGTGGGACAAGGAGGGCACGTGACGACAGTACATTCCCTTTTTGCGATATTGGCACCGTTCCTTGCCCAGTGCTCGCATCTAACAGCCATTTACTGCAACTACCAGATCATCATCGAGGACATATTCCAACTGTTTTGTGAAACTGCGCGTACTTACCTAACGTACCTCACTCCTGTAAGTTTGCCATTTGCAGGTATTTTCCAGTGATTTCGCTCTTGTCAAATCACAACTTCTTACTCAACTAGGCTCCGGTTTTAATATAAAATATAAATATGATGTTTTTTGAACAAATGCCCAATTAAAAAAATATAAAATAAAAAACATTTAGTTATTTAGTTTTAAATAATTTATTTACACATACTAGTTCAAAAATATGTAAAAAGGAAGAATATAACAAGTTAATACTATAGAAAATAAATCTTTATTTATTTAAAATGACGTGCATTTTTAAATTGTCGTAAATAAAAAGGTTTTTCTAGAACTAAAAAATTCTGTAAAAAATGTAAAAAAAGTTAAAGAATTTTACAAGTCAAGTTGTCAAACCAAATCATAAATAATAAGAAAAAATTCAGTTGAGGGAATTCATTTGCATTGAATTAATGGAATGATATTTTTAGACGTGACATTCGTTAATAGGGCAACAAACAATTTTTATTTTGAGCCCACAATTTAATATAATGATCTAGAAAGGCCGGTGGAGCCCAGATTTCGCTGCTGATCGCCAGGAATCCACGTAATATCACAATGCTCAAATATATAATCAACAAAAAGTCCATTTCGAATTTTAAATGTTTTCAATGTATCGCTAAATTCTCGGAGTCTGATATTGGAAAAAAGCATTCCATTAGAGTTAAGAATCCGTTATCGGTCAATTTTCAGGCATGCACACTCGAAAATTATGGATTCGTTTGCAACTGTTTTGTGATTATGTGAACAAGCCTCATGGTGGCAGATTCGTTAAGGCAACCCACAGTTCTGGATTCAAATGGCAGCACAGCTCTTGAAATTTTATTTTGAGAATTATTTTAAAAATAAGTAGTCTCACCCCTCATCCGAGCTACATGGGTAGCTGAGAAGCCTTTTTTTGGGGTAGTGTTTTTGAAGAAAAAAAAGTATAAGTAGGTCTGGTTTAAATTCCGAAGTACAACTTTACTTTATTTTACGTTAAGTTATTGTGAAATTTCTCTTTTTTTCTCTTTAGCTCTGCATGGTGATGAATGTTTAGTTTGGTTGTTTCTGATCAGTTATAGCCTACTTTTCCCTGCTGTTTTGGCTTCGCACTCTCTAATAGGAATACCTAACTTGACCAGAAACTTCCAAATTCCATAAATATAATTATAAAAATTCAGTCTGTTTTTTTTTTTTTTTTTTTTTTTTTTTTTTTTTTTTTTAATGTATCGAATAATTTGATTTTGGCAAAACCTAGGAATGATTAAATTAAGTTTTAAATAGATTAATTTAGAATAATTAATTTAATTTTTGTTTTTTCAGGTTGAGACAAGGACTTTTTATGAAGCATGTTTAAATACGATTCAGATTTACGCAAGAACAAATCAAGGGCGCAAATCCATACATCCAAATATGGAAGAAGACACGTTCAATGATATTCACCTCCTTATGGAGCTTTTGTTAACGATTTACGCTAAAGATTGTATCGATTTGAGTCCAGCCGGTATTATTGATAGTGTTTATTGATTTTTTTAAAATTGAACACTTCAATAACGGTTTTTCATTTGTTACAGAAGATGTCCCCCAGAGCGAACCATCCGTTACCGCTACAGATATTTGTCTATATGGCCTGAAAATATTAATGCCTTTAATGACTATAGAGCTGTTAAAGTGTCCAACATTGTCATTACTTTACTACAAGGTAAAATAAACACTACGGCATTTAATAATAATTTTTTCTCCTGGTGTATTTTTTATTTACAGATAATAGCGTTTGTATGCGAATTGTATCCGAAAAAGATATTGAGACAAGAGCCAGCCCTTTTAGAAGGCATTCTCCAAACCGTCCAGTTGGGCCTTCAGTCATTAGGGAGAGAAATTAACGCTCTCTGTTGTGAATTTATTGTTGCTCTCGGGACTTGCATATTTAGTGAAGACCTTGGAGGAAGTTGTAAATTATTAGTTCCTTTTATTAAGGTAAAATATGAAATTCTTATTTTCTCAGAAGTATGTAATATTTGGAGATGATTTTCCCCCTTAGATTTTAATGGACATGATTCTATGTCAGCAAGTAAATTCCAGTAATTTTCAAAACATAGGAAAAGCTCTTTTCGTCCTTATGTGCTGTTACAAGGTAAAAAGTTAATAAATAAAAAGTTCCATTGAGATGATTTGAGTTATTTTTAAATGTAGGAAGAATATCAGAGGAGCGTCCAGTGGTGGGTGGATTCACAAACCGATCCCGCAGTCGCACAAAGGCTTGCTAATTGTTTCACACAGTTGACAGAAAATATTCCGCTCTCCATCCAGCGGCGTAACATGGCACAATTTAAAGAATCTTTTGAGAAGTTTGTGGTGGAAGTACCCTTATTTCTACTTGTCAAGTGATCCGAGTTTTTGCATTTCCAAGATTTTGTTTTGTTTGTTGTCGACTGCACGTGTGTAAATATTGTGTTGTTCAAAAGGAGTAAAGTTTACAAAATGTAAAAAGTTGGTTCGTTTGTTTTTGTTTTTCTTTCCTGTTTTTTTCAGTTTAAAAAAAACTTTTTAAACCAAAGTTGATCGTATTTTATCTTTTGTTTTTAAACTAACAGAATTTTTGTATAAAATATTTGAAATTTTGTGTTTTTAACTTCTGTTATTTTACAAGAAATGTGTATTTTGTACAGTCACCGTTTCAGACAAAAATGTAAAACATGTTTAAAAAAGTTTTTATTTTTTATTTGCCTATTTCCCATGTACGTTCAAGTCGATTACTTACCTTCTTTTTTTCTAAGCTTCTCATTACATGTTTCTGTTCTCCTATCTGAGTGGTAAGTCATCGCTCCTCCGATGAGCAGCATCGCCCCTACACCGAGTACTGCTACCAAATACCCTCTAAATATTTCCCTGTTTAATTCTGGAAGCCTCATTTTTGCGAATTTTTGTCTGTTTTCAAATGACTTTATCACATGTTTATTTTGTTTTTTCAAATGTTTACTGCAATTATTATTTAATTGGATAAATAACAATGAATCGCATAATCTGCTACATGATTACCTGTTGAATTTGAAATACATAATCGTAAAAGCAATGTGCCAAATTGAAATAAACTTGCAATTAAAACAACCAAAGAATATTTACAACTGCAGATGAGTACTCATAAAAAATTAAAAAATCATAAATGCAACAATGAAAAATGATAGATTGTATAATCACAATATCATTATTCAATCTGCATAGCCAATTTTTAGAAACTGATTGGATTGTTTATTGCTGTAAAAAAAGATAAATGATATTAAAATGTATTTTACTTAAAACTGTCTTTATATGATATGCACAAAATTTCAAGCAGTACTTAAAACAAATAACAAGAACAATTAAATATGTATGATAAACCAATAATGTTAAGTTAAGAGTATTCTTATAGAGTTTATTATGAAGAATAGGAAATTTATTATTTTTTAACCTCCAGAGTAGTTTTTAGCACTACATAAAATAATTTCAATTTTTCTCAAAAGGATGTTTTTGACCTATTCACAAAATAATCAGAATTTGTTATTTTCAGTGGCGTATTTCACCCAGAATCCTGTGAACTGAAGATAATAGTTGTCACTGACTTTCTCATAATCTGAAAACCTTGAGACATTTGTCGTGTTTGGTACTGCGGGTTCGATTTGTGAGCCTTCTTCCCAAGAATTAAACGAATTTATAGCGATCGCAGACGGCTTGGCTGCCAAAGCACTCTTCCATGCGATCTAGAGAATTTTAATTTTCATTAAATTCACTTTGAATCAAGTACAAAAAAAAAAAAAAGACGATCACCTCGTAATAATTTCCATTCAGCCTTGGTCTGAAATAAGTACTGAGTGTGCCATCGTTGTAACCGGGTGCGATGCAAGGCACAAAAATCAGGCCGTTCTTGTCTGCAAATTGTCCCAAGGTTTTCCAGTTCCTCCAGGATGAACCGTAAGTGAAGCCATTTGTGGCAAAATAAGTATAAAACCCTGAAATCCGATTAATCAGTCTAAGATAATAGACAAAATCTTAAATTACATGCCGTCAAAATGAGCCTGCTTGATGTCAATCCTGTTCTGAACGCTACTAAGCAGACCTAGGAAAATAGCATCGAATTGTGAATTTCTTATTGTCCTGTTTCCATTCGGGTTTAAGTAACTACTCCAAGTTATTGGATCCTCAATAAAAGGGTCAAAGATATAAATTACCTGAAAAAGTTGTATTATTTATTTAATTAAAATTGTGATGCATTTATAAAATATATATATATATATTTTTTTTTTATGAAAATTCTGTTTAATCAAATATATATAATAAAAATAATAACTATTAAAGGGGACGTGATGATATTATTTCTGTAACTACTATTAAAACACCTACAAATTTTGGGAAAAAAAGAAAACCCCCCTTAATAGATGCGTACATAGAAATGAGTAAAGAAAACAATATAAATATACATAAATCACATTTACATCCGTCTACCTTTTCAGATTATAAACTCTTAATCAAAGCAAGAAAAACTCATTTCTTCAGAGATTATTCTGATTTTCCTACCCATATAAGGAATTCTATATTTAAATCTGACATGGAGTGTTTAACCCGAATGCTCAACTTATTTTTACGGATGGGTCGCTGATGAAAGGAGATGTAGGATGCGCAATATATGATTCCAATCTAAAACAGGGGAAGCAATTTAAACCCCCAAATCACCAGTATTTTCTTGGCAGAACTATATGGCATTGTGAAGGCTTTAGAATACATTTTAGAAAATGAGTTAAATAATGACAATTTTATGATAATGTCCGACTCCAAGAGTGCACTACAAGCTATAGAGGGGCATAATCTCAATTCCCAAAATTATATGATCAACGATATCGTGGACTGTTTAGATATCTTAGAACAACATAGGAAAATAAAGGCCTGCCTGTGCTGGGTTAAGGGCCACGCTGGTATTGAACAAAACAAAATTGTTGACAAGTTGGCTAAGAATGCTATAAAACAAGGAGAATGGAACAATATTCCAGTCCCATGGCAGGACGTTAAAAGTTTTTTTCATGCCAAACTTTCCCGGAAATGGAATCGTACGATCCAAAGAAGTAACACTGGCTCTTTCTATTTTAAAATTAATCCAAACGTAAATAAAAAACCTTGGTTCTACCTGAGCACGACCAATAAAGGAAATTGTACGATAATAACCAGAATGAGACTTAATCATGGAATTATTTACAGAAGATTAGTCAGAGGAACAGAAAAGAGTATCAGAGCTGTGGGATAACAGAAGACCTAGAGCACATATTGATGGTTTGTTCACAGTATGAAAAAGAAAGGAAAGAAATGTTTGATGAACTGTATAAACTAAAAACGTTGGACAAACTATTTGATTATAGATGTCTATTGTTTCCTAAAGATCTTTGTATTTATACAAATATCGTTAAATTTGTCCATGAGTGCCACATAACTATTTGAGATGATAACTGTCTCTGGCCTGCTGCCTGGGGGCGGGGGGGTCCTTGTCTTGTTGCTGGGGGTGTGCGGCGCTGGGGTGGCTCTGGTACATGGACATCGATAGCCGTCCCCGATCGGTTTGGAATGTGGGTGGCCAGGCACACATGCACATCCCACCAGGAGATCGGACGTACTTGAGTCAAGTTGGAATTTGAAGTGGAGTCCCCTGGTGCCTCATTTTTCCCCGGTGTGGAATTCCGGAGGTGTGGTCTTTGCGCTAATGGTGAAAACCAAGGCAAAAAAAAGGGGACGTCAGTGGCTGCAACAGTTTAGGCGTTGACACAGCGCTTATCACTGTAAGGCAAAAGTCTCGGGTTCGAATCCAGCGACCCTGCATTTGAACCCAACATACTTAAAAATGGGCTTTTTTTTTCAAAAACACCAGCATCCTGAGGATTTATACGACCTCTGCTGTTGCAAACCCTCATAAGAATTCTAAAGATCTACCTCAAATTCAAAGGGATCTTATTTAGGAAATAAATCACTAACACAAATGCAGAGGGACACTATATTGTTTTTTTAAAAATAAAAAATGTATTTCCTTAAGAAATCAAGTTACATTATACAAAAAAAAAATAAAGCATGCTTATAAGCAAACAATATAATAATAATTAGATACTATAAGAATTAATAATATGGGCCTGAAGGGCGAAATTAAAACAATCAACTTTGATAGTCAAAAGGAAAAAAATAAGAAAAAATAAAACCATAAATGACAATGGGCCACACAACAGAAATTATTTATATCAACACAAATTAAAGTGAATACAAATGTGATTCGGCTGGTTTTCAGCTGGATTTTTTTTTTTTCTTTTAGTTTTTCTTCCAATGCTTAGGATAGACTGAACTACCCACCCTCGCTTTCCTGCCTCTACCATGGAGAGGAGAGCCTGGACATAGTTTATTGTTATAAATTGAAAAAAAGAGGATTTAATTGAACAAACAATTGAAATATAGTTTTTATTTTTCTTGGTCTCAATAGGTCTGATTGATTTAAGCTAGAGCAATAAATGAAAATAGGGGTAAAAGTATCAAATTTCTACTTAACAAATAGAGTTAAAAATCCTTAATTCTCCAAGGATTTATTCGAGAAAATGGTCCAAAAGTTCAAAATTACACACAGACAACTAGGCAGGATTTAACAGTAGTATATACCCTGGGAAAATATTTGCATGGATCAAAAATAAAAGAGTGTAAGTAAATTTTAGATACAATTGAATAAGCTTTGTGTCATGAGCTTCACAAGTGCGTAATTTTGTTCACATTTTCGTTTATTATAATGAGATGATACTAATACGGGTGCCAGGACATGAGAGAGTTGAAAGGATGAACCATTTAACAGAAAAAATATTAACAGTGTCAGCCAGCAGGCTAAAGTAAGGATTAAGTGTACAGAGTGAATGCTGAAAGAGGAAAACAAATGAATTAAAAAAGAAAAAAAAGACACTGGAATAAGTGTCTGGCATGTAGAGAAATTGTTCAATGTGTCCCATTTAATCTACCAAATATTGTTGTAAGATGGAATATTGTCTAAGAGATAATTAAAAATATTAAGGGTGGCCAATTTTTTTCCCTCTCCATGTAGATAAGTGTCCTCAAGTTGTTTTCAGTGAAATGTAAATAACATAGTATTTCAAAGTAAGTAAATGACAGTTGAGCGTTTAGGCATTGACATAAAAATGTCGTTTGGAAATTTTTAAGAGTTAGTGATGGAGATAATTAATCATAAACCAGGCTAACAAATGATTTAGGAAAATAGAAAAGAATATAGAAGAGTAAAATCCCTAATTCTCCAAGGATTTATTCAAGAAAATGGTCCAAAAGTTCAAAATTACATACAGACAACTAGGCAGGATTTAACAGCACTATATACCCTGGGAAAATATTCGCATGGATGAGAAATAAAAAGAGTGTAAGTAAATTTTGAATAAAATTGAATTGTTGGTCAAGATTTTAAACCAACAATTTATTTTCATTTACAACTTAATCGAAATTTTCTTATTATCTCACAGATTCACGAATATCTCAGAAAATCGTTTGCAAAAGAGAAACATTTTTATATTTGAATTTCCCGGTGTTAAATCGATTTTAGGTTTTTATCGATTTTTGTTCGATTCTGCAGTGTATCAGGGGCAGGTTATGTTCGCGTCCTACTTGAGTCTTGACCTGAACTTTGAAGATCCTTGTCAAATATTGAAGTAATCTGCTTAATGAAAAAAAGCCGCACAACATTTGAAAAGGACGTCGAGACTCTTCAGATGAGATCAACGCGAGTATACTTTGCTTCATGTACGATATTATTTTTTTCCCCCCCAAATGAAAACACGTATAAAAATTATGCAAAAACACTTTTTAATTTGTCTGTGGTTCAGTTTTTATTGATCGCGCCTGACATTCTTCACGAATTACTTTCCAAGCGATACGTTTCGTAGTTGGCAGGTCGATAAAATGTTAAATCGAACTGGAAAAGAAAGATTTCTTAATTGTTTTATTGCAACAATTGAATTTCAAAAATTGCTCAATACCAACTGCTGGAAACTTTGACAAAAAGTTCAGTAAGCAATGAGAGATAAAAAATGTAAATTCCTTGTGTGATTTAAGACACTCAAATGTGAATTATAAGAGAAGGAAATTGTCCCTTTAAAACCCTACATTACGAAGATATTAGAAATCTTGTACCTCTTATATAATTTGACATTTATTACAACCCTTTAATACTTTTTTTCACATAGAAAAAAGTTGGGAGGTAGATAAAAATAGAGTTGTAGTTGGATTGAATCGTTTTCAATTATTGAATTGATATATTCATTCCATCTTGTGTGGTGTTTAGTGACCGTTACTTAATGATTATTTGGAGGTCGTGAGATGCGGTCTGGTGTCAAGTAGGTTTTAGAACAACATTTTCTTTATCGTGCCATTTCGATCTTTATTGAGATCATCTTCAGGGATCAAAGCGTGTTGGGCTCTCTCAATGCGACAGACAAGAATGACACATCTACACGGAAAACAAACACTGAGCTCTGAAGACGATCTCAATAAAGATAGAAACGGCACGATAAAGAAAATGTTTTTCTAAAACCTATTTCACACCAGACCGCATCTCACGAACTCCAAATAATCATTAACTATTATTATTTATTTGGTTGAAGTCTTTGAGTCATCTCATGCAGCTTAGTCGTCAAATCATCCTTGTCAACCTGTCCTCGCTGGTTTGGTCTGACATCTGTTTTTTCATTATCTTTTCCATTTTTCGTCCATTATTACATTTTTTTAAAAATTAATGAGAAAGTTTTTTTGTGACATTTGCAAGTAGTTCTTAAAACAGATCAAACACTGAAGATGGCAAAATGCATTTGACAGAACAAGCAATGTTGGCCAGGTTAAGCAAAAAAAAAAAAAAAAACCACCATTATTATTTACACACAATTACATGCTTAATTCATTCTATGAGTCATTGTTTTACTTCAATTTTTACACTGAGACTGAACTAATGTCAATCTGTACAGGCCAACAGTTGACATATGAACTCTTTTTAGACCGGTGTGAGCAATTGGGCTTGCAGAAAAAGATTGCTGTAATCTGCTTGAAGAAAGGCTGATTTGGGTTGGCTCTGTTTAAGGAGCAAGTAGGTCCACTTGATAATAATAATAATAATGCCACTTAACCATTGTGATCCAGCCCCCGGATGCTAAGAATGCAATAAAAAACTCAAAAAGATAGTGGCTGTGTCTGTGGGCATGATCAGCAAAGAAGCTATTGTGTACTAAGAGCAGGGTCAATAGGTGGTCTTTGGAGGGACTCGTAGAAGAGTCATCCTCCCCCAATTAAGAATAGGCCATGTGAAGTTGACATATGTGTCCAGCATGTAGAGAAGTTCACTCGATGTGAAAATCTAGTCGAAGGTCCTTGCCTCCAGAGAGCGTGTAGGAATGCTACCCAATATGAGAATTGTTCTAAAGCATGGCAGCAAATATCTGTGGGTCGTATGTTTCGATTCTTGGAGGAAACAGTATTGTTTTATTGTATACAGAAATGATAGTTTTGTGTCCTTTGCATATGTTGAGAGTGAATGTATTTATTGTCGTGAATGTGTAGTGTGAGAAAATCAATCCTCAATTAGATTAGTGGTATAATAAGTGAAAAGGGATGATGGAAGAATGTCACATGCTTCACCACCCTGAGTGAATGCTGTATAAATGAGTAAAAATGTATTTAAGAGAGAGTGAGAATGTGAATGGATTTAGGAACTGATTGCGTTGGTAGCTGAAATGACCTAACTGTTGATAGACCCTTGAGCTCGATTTCAGTGCCTGGACGGATGAGACCAAGCACTGTCCCCTGATTGCCAACATCCAGGGTGGGTAATTCGTAATTACAAAAGCTGAAATTGCCAGTGATCTCCGAGAAATATTAGGCTTAACTATGTACATCCATGTGTAGATTTGAGTTTATATAAATCAGTAATCAATAATAATGCCAGATTTTATCTTAATCCACATAATTTGTAATTTATAATGTTTTCATGCTAAATATACATACACATATACTACTAGGAATATTATACAAAAGGCAAAAAAGTTGTTTTTTTGTACACTGAAGGAATATTTTTGACTTAATAAACATGGTTTTACCAACTTACCGGTAAAAACTTGTCATCCTTGCTGGCCCTTTTTATTCTATAGAGAGCGTTGTGTTGCCCAAAGGTGTCTATAAATATGTTGAGGTTAGTTATAATTTGGTTAATCTCTATTGTGTTCTTCCAGTGTAGGGCTATTTTGATTGTATACTTGTCAGCCGTGTCGAGTATGGTTTTCATTAAAATTTCCTTTGGGTCATGAGGCTCCCATGAAACTATCGCTACACCTGAAATTAATTTAAATCTGTTTTCAGGTTCGTGAAACAATGACACTCACTATCCAGCAGGTGGTGGCAGACGCAAAGGTCTTAGTGTCGAAGCTGAAAGAGAGTACTGAGAAGGCCGACGACCTCATCGCGAGGAGCAAACAGTTACAGAAGGAAATTGACGATATGGCCACTTACAGGGAGGACAGCGGAGGAGAGGCTCCTCCGGTGCAGCCGACCAAGCTGTTCATACCTGAGAACGCTCAGATAAAGGCTCTGGAGCAGGAGAACAAGGAACTTCGCTGTGCTATCATCGAACAGCAGAACGGGCTTGAAATGATAATGTCCAAATACCGACAGGATATAACCAGCCTCGTCAACCAGACGAGGATGAACCTCCCTAAGATAAACGAGGGCAGTTCGCATGACACTATGCTCAATCAGGCTTTGAGGATCAACGAGATGGCCGAAATCATGAAAAAAGCCTCATTTGCCGATGAAGACAAAGTCCTCCAGAATGAGGAATTGTTGCAACAGCTTATGACTGAAAATCAGGGGCTTAAAGAACTGGTTAAAATTTCTGCTGAAAACGGTTCCCTCAATGTTGACAACATCCCCAGCTATGAAGATCACAGCTCAGAACTCGCTGACAGCCAGCACACGAACATCTCAACCATCAAACCCAAACAAAATACTGTAAAGAGGAAATTAAGTGCTAAAACTGACAAGTAATTCTGAAAATTAGTACTTAAAAATTATTATATTAAAAAAAATCCCAATCAATGTTAACAATATAATAATTACAATTGAACTAATATTTCTGTGAAATTTCATTCCCAAGATCAAAGCTTCAGAAAGAGACCTTTTAGAATAAAGTGAAACATTTTTTTTTCTCTTTCTTATGTTATTAAATGTATCCAAGCAATAAATTCTTCTTTTTCTTGGGTAATTGTTCTTTAATTCTGTTGTACCACTCCTGAAGACCTGTTTATAAAATTGTTATTTTTTCTGTTAATAAAGTCTATTTTTCATAAATTAATTCTTCATTTAAGTTATTATCATTATTAATTTTGTTTTGTGTACGTCCAATTGGTTTATTTGTAATTGTCCACTTAAAACAAATGTTTTAAATTTCAGGGAGACTAAACATTAATAGTTATAAAATATATGGGATTAATTATTTTTCCAATTTGTATTACTGTAAGAAAAATTAGAGGTATAAGATAAAAGCAATATATATTTTATAATTTGTAGGGTTACCAATTCCAGCCTTTTTCATCTGCATCATGTGTATGTCGATTACAGATTTGTTATGCGAGCTATAGAAGCCGAGCCGAGGATAATACGCAGTCCTGAACTCCGAAGGACGACCGGGGTATTTATCTGTGGCGAACCAATGTTTCCAGATCCCGTCCTCTTTCTCATTACGGTACCACGAGTAATAGAAGGCGTGGATTTTCGAGTCCACCTGCTTCACCGGTTCGAAATCCAGCCGCACCTTCTCCCCGGCGAAGCCACCGGAAAGCCTAGAGATTTTACGTTCTATCCATTTTACTTTCAGCTCCGCCAGGCTCATTATCGTCGGCATTGTCATATTAGCATAATTAAGAGGCTCGTATTTGGGCAGGTACGGGTTGTCGCTGAGATTGAGCGTCCAGATTTTCAGAAGAAAAACAACCGTCAAACAAGTTATGACTATATATAATACAGTTCTGAGGTAGACCCTGAACAGTTTGAATTTAAGCATTGTTTTATTTATATCTAAGAGAGTTTTATTGGTATTATTCCTCCTCGGATTAAAGGAATTTACAATTTCGCCCTCGTCTCAAGCCGTATTTATTAGTTTCAGGGCATAGTCGACCACAATCGGTTTCAAGGACGTCCAATCCTGTCCACAAAAATCGAAATAAACGAACACTTCTGCCAGCACATGGAAGAACGCCATTCTAAAAGACGGGGTTCCATTTTAATTTCCATTATTTTATTGAACGAATTCCCACCGGTGTCACTGTCCCGAATCTACTTTCTATCATGTTTTTTAATTGAATTTATAAAAGAGGACGGTTGCTTTTAAAAAACTTAAGAAATATTAAATTCGGGTCATCGATTTTCCTCCTCTCGCGGAAAAACGCGCATGAGCCGCTTTCCCATGCACAGATTGAGCTTAAAAGTTTAGAATCGGCTTCGTTTTTATTTCTAATACGTTTTTACAACGTTAAAAATCAAAGGGGCAAAAAAATGGAGGATCAAGAAAGACAATTGTGATTTGCCGTTATGTTAAAAAAACGTTAAACGTTTGATTTTTCCCCTGAACCTTTTCTACTTTCCAGCAAATTTGCGCGTTAATACGAAAAATCACGTTTACGTTTATTTTATGCCGTTCCGGTCGTTTTGACCAAAAATGGCCAAAATAATTCTGCGCGGTTTTAAGAAATGGCAAGCTGTTCGTTTTGAAAATACCATTTATCAAAAAGCGCATCGATTTGAGAGGAATATCTTTATACCTACAAGACAACAAATTATTTTAAAAAATTATATTAACTGACAGATAAACTGTTGGCACATAACGCCCTTAATTTATTTACAATTACAGGCTAAATAGACAACTTTACAAATGAAAGAGAAAAATATTCCCATAAAAAACTAAAAATATAGATATACTGTATATTTATATGATGAATATGGATACTAGGAAGTTGTGTCCTCCAAGCACTACAGCCTTCAGGCTTATTATACTATCCTAGTTCCTTAGTTCAATGCACTTGACTCAATCCTTCTCTTGAGAAGACTAGTCATTGACTGTCGTTGCTACAATTACTTTCCTGGTTATGTCCCCATTGAGCAGTTGCTTATGGGATGGGTGGCTGTTTCGTCCTCCTCATTGCATAACCTACAAATGGAATCATCATTGAATGTACCTGTGTTATGTAGATGTTTTCTCAGCTAGTGACTAAGTAGTCCTATCACTCTGAGTTTAGCCCTCGCCAACTGTAGCAATGAATTTGCCAATCTTGGGGTTGTTTTAGAATGTGTCTAGCACCTCTAGAGTTTAGCCACGTCTTGGTGCAGCAGTGTAAACAACTTGCCTAACAGTGATCGTCCTGGACAGTTGTTAAGTTTGCTTGCTACCGAATTGCCACTCCCCGTGCATTTTCACATGTTCATAAATTACATCATTCCATGATCTTGACTAAAGAATGGTGCTATTGCCCCAACAGGCCACTAGGTAGAATTAATTGTTGGTCATCGGCAGAAAGGAGAGGAATAGAATGACATGTAACAGAAGGAAGATCATTAATAAAATTATCAAACAACAGTGGGGAGAGATGAATTGTGGAACACTGGAAGATTTCTTGAGTGGCTCAGATTTATATCTCCTACATACCACCCTTAGGGCTAAACATATAAACACAACTAAGTGCACCAAAGTGTGTGTAAAGAAAAGCTGAAACACTGGACAATATGATGCTGACAAATTTTCTCTCAAAATGGAAGGCGAAGGAACTTATACACTTTATATCCTTTCAGTATGTGAAGAAGTAGTCCAGTTATTGTACAGCCACTTCAGTAGGACATTTATCACACCAAAGGAGGTCCATGAAGTGGTACAAAGGAAAGTGCTTAGTCTTATGAGGAAAAGCACACTTTTCAAGGTTTGGCTACAAGCTATAATCAAAAGATCACAGTTGAGGAAAGGATTGTCAAAATTCTTATCAACCCCTGAATTCCATAAATAATTTATTGAAGTAGTGAGAAGGGGTCAAGAATGAGGTAGTTTAGAGAAGATGTAGATGTAATTTTTTCAGGGTATGGTATACTGCGCCCTTTAAAAGCTATTGTACCCCCGTTCTCTGCCTAAAGCACATCGGTGAGTCCTATTTCATCAAGAAACTTGATTAATAGGCCTGGTTTCAGTGGTTGAAGCTCTTCTATGGTCACATTATACATCCCAAAAGATTTCCTCCTGCGGGCTAATGTAGCTCCACAGTTTGTTAGTAAATGTGTTTGTGTCTCTTCTGCATCTACATGTGCCATCTTGGATTGTTCCAATTTTCTTTAAGTGTCCATTTAATCTGCAGTGTTCTGTTAGGAATCCTGTTAGGATTCGCAGTCTGTGTTCCTGCTTCCTTTGACACATTCTGTGATTCCTTTCTTATCAAAATTGGTTAGAAGATTCTTGGATTGTTTATGTCCAATGAGTCCATTGTTCCTTCATTTTCTTTTTGTCCTTCTGTCTGAGATATTCGTTAATAGTGTGGATTAGTATAGAGAAACACCCTTTTTCATTTTTTTTGCAGAATGTTTCGACCTTTATTCGTGTCATCTTCAGGGCCTGGATAAATTACAAAACATATGTTGATTTGAAAAGAATACTCTTGTATGTTTTGTAAAAAAAACCCTATATTCATGCTGAGGCTGTTACTAGTCTGACTATTATTATTATTATTGACCATACAAGTCTATGGGAAATGTTTAAATTATGGAACAAAAATTCAAAATTCTAATTAAACAACAGGAATAAATTTTATAATTTAAAATGGGGTTTTTTGGATACATTTGGTCTTCCAAGTAAATTATCTTAAAAGGATAAATTAAAGCTTTGGATGGCAATAGGATAGATTAGTTAGAAGGGATGTAGTTAACCTAAGATAGAAGGTTTGGATGTTAGGGTGTGAAATGACCTCAGCCGTTAAAACACCCTAAAAAATTAATAATAATGTAATAGCCAAAGCCTGCACAGGTGCCCCTTATGCAGAGAAAGGTTGCTCAATGTGTGCCACATAACAGAGGCTTGTCATGCCTTTGCTCCATACAGAGAGCGTGTAGGCATACCGCCGGATTTAAGAACGTAGAACGGTTCTTGGACACCAGAGTCCCCTGTTCCGCTTTTTAGGGGAATTGGGATTTTTTTCAAAATATATGTTTTATATGAGTGAGCGTATTTATTAGAGTGAATGGGGAGGGCTGATGATGAAATAGCATCCCCATTGCCTCTCGAGCTGTGTAAGCGGAATATTTATTATATATATGTATCCCATCCACCCCAATTAGATTAGTTTGTTATTGTAAGCTATTGTATGTAGGTCGATGGAAGAATATTGAATACTCCATCCAAATGGAATGAATGCAATGTATATAGGTGTGAATATATTTATTTGTGTGAGTGCACATTGAATGTGTGTTGTTATATTTCGCATGGGCATAATAATAATAAAATAAATTTCACCACACCAGGCAAAATAGTTTTTGATTAATAATCATTGATGTAATTCTGTAGGTGTAAAAACTGCAGTTAACTGAGAGCGAGATTACATACAAAATCGGGAGAAACAGAGAGCGATGCAAAAACTCGGCCAAAGTCCAATTCAACTTATTTTTTATTAATTGTATCACTATTTTTTAATAAGAAAATGAGAAAAACTCTGGAAAAGCCGGCAAGACAATGTGACAGAGGATTCCGCTTCGAATTTGGCGGGCAGCGGCTTCCACTTTCCACTGCCATTCGGTTAGATCGGGAAACTGTTTTTGTTAGCTCCTTAAAAAAAAAATTAAATTCGACAAATCGTAAATTCGACCGGTGAGGAAATTGCGCGTTTTAAAATCTCTATAAAAACGTTGCGATTCCCATGCGTCGGATCTGCGGCCGCTGTGTAGTTCTCGTCCTTTCTAAAGTCGGATTTCGACCGTGTTCCCCTCGCGCAGAGGTCGGCAGTTTTGCGTCCGGCATGGTGTTTTGATTGGGCTCGTCGCAGTTCGGCTCAGAAAACGCCAGCTCGTACTTTCGTCTGTGAATCGCCCGTAAATCGGTTTTCCGTGGAGAAGTGCGCGTGTTTGCGACTCGGGAGTGGTCAGCCGTCCGCCGCCGTCAGACCGGAGCGAGATACCCAACGAGACGCTTTTGAGGGATGGCCAACGGGCCGCCGCCATTCGCCCCGTGAGCCGCAACCCTCGTCGCATCTCTCATCTCCGGTTTTCCCCGTCCGCGATGGAAACGTTTTACTTGACCTGACCGGGAAAATCGGACCGTTTCCAGACTTTTCTTCTATTTACGCCCCAACGGAATTCGTCTCATTCGAAACGTTTCAACGGCCGACACACCGTCAAAAATGGAGGTTGTCAAATCTTTTAATGCGGAGGTAATTTCACTTATATTTACTTCAATTCTTTCACTATTTCTTTTATTTTTCCAATTCAATTTAAATAAAACCACCCTTCCTTCACAATCAAATCTCAGAAACAATACATCCAAATATATACACAAAAATAATAATCTGCGAATGATAAGGTTCAAGGTTATTGTGTAGCGTTTTTCGAAACGATCTTCCCGTCTATTTTTTATTTCTTCTGCACAAAACCGACAATCACAGGATTTGTCGAGTGTCGCCGATTATCGTGCAGTTGAATCGGAAAAAACTTAAGTCGGTCGAACACTCGACGTACCTCGCCCTTGCATGGGCGAATCGTCGGGTTGCGACGAATGTTTGCCCAATCCTGTCACGACACTTCTTTAAGCCTCATCAACGCGAATCCTCGTACCTTAAACCTTATAGACGCCTTACATGAAAAAAATTCCGACTTGAGATCTTGTACACTTTCAATTTTATTTCAAATCGATCTGGTTCTTTTTGGAAATTGCCGAAATTTGAAGCATATAGCTTTCAGCAGTTAACATAAGCGGCTCAAAAATCCTAAACAAATTTTTATTAATTATTCAAGTACGCCGATCATCGTTCATAGTTTATTATTAAACCAGCTAATTTTCTAGCATAGTTGAGATTTTTTAAATTAATCAAAAGCGTAATAGACAGAAAGTGCAGTTTGTCAAATACACTGAAAGGAAAAACGTGGCCACTCTCGATTTAAAAAAAGTAAATATTCCCATTCGTTATACTTTAAAGAAAAATATAAGATAGAACTGAGTAAAACAATTTTATCAAAAAATGTTGCTATGGCAACAATGAAGAAACTATTCAATCCTACACGAAGAATTTCCTCCTCTTGCATTCGATGTGAAATTGATTTAATGAAGTTTTGAATGCAGTGCTGTGAATAGTTGTATACTCATCCAACAGCACCAACTTGCAACTCCCTTGCATCGCTGGGCAATTTTTTACGCTCTTTGACGATGTTCCAAAGGTGGTGGGTTTAAATCGGGACTATGTGTTGGCTACTCCAAACATTGAATTGAAGCCCGTTCCAAGTAGTCACCAACGATCTTAGCTGACATGCATAAACATAAAACGCCAATTAAAGGCATATAAGGAACAACTTCTTGTAATAACATTTCTTCTATGTATCTTGCAACTGTTAGGAAACCCTCGATGAAAATCAAGTTTGTGCGACCTGTACAAATGCCTGCCCAACCATAACAACCAACTCCATAGTGAGTGAAAATGTTGCGGGATATATCACTCACCTGTTTATTCAAAATCCTCTCTCAGCCATCAGAAGAGCTTAAAAAAAAAATCCTTGACAGACTTTAGACCAACCTTGCTGAGACCAATTGATGTGATTTCTTGCGAAAATTCGCCCCAAAGATGTTCGATAGTGTTTAAATTGGGTCTACATACTGGTCACTCCAAACATTGAATTGAAGCCAGTTCCAAGTAGTCACAACGATCTTAGCTGTGTGGGGGCCATGCATTGTCATGAATAAAAATAAAATCATCATCAATTAGTGGTATGTAAGGAACAAGTTCTGATAACACATCTCCAAGGTATCATGCTGATTGGTAACCTTGTGACCTTCCGTAGAAATACCTGCCCAACCGAACACCACCAACTCCATATCTTCTCCGGAGTGAAATTGTTGCGGGGGTATATCGCTCTCTCGCTCTCTTCCAAATTCTCTCTCGGCCATCAGAAGACCTTAAACAAATCCTTGACTTATCTAAAAACAAGATTTTAGCCCAGTCTTGCTCAGACCATATGATGTGATTTCTTGCGAAATTTAATCAAGTTGTTCTGTGCCTTGAAGTTCTGGACCAGACAGGCCTTGTTCCGCGTAATCCACCTTCTGAAAGTCTTCACCTTACAGTGTATAAACTGACAACATTTCTAACTTGTTGAAGACATTGCTTGACTCAACATCAGTAGAATGTCAATTTTGGAGTACATTTGAAAGAATAAAACGAACATCTCTCTGATGTGACACATTGGCGACCTGATCCATGCCTTTTTGAGTATCATCCTTGGTAGCGATAGAAGACCCTTCGGACTGTTGTTCTTAGAATGTTAAGCTCCCCGGCCAAATACGCTTGACTTCTTCCATCTTCCAACAATGCTGTCTTGCCGAATCTGTCTCAAAACCATCACCCACACAAATTTGAAAATTAAAAATGTTACAACTTAAAAACGTCAAACCGTTAGAACGTTAGAAGAACAGCAAAACCAACAATAAGAGATTGACCATTTAAAGATTTATTGACAAAATCCAACTGTAAACACAAGTGGGAGAATTTATCCGTGTTTTATTTAACTCTAACCTCTTAAAACGGACCAAATATTGTAAGATGATCAATGGAGAATTGTCTTAGAGATAATTGCAAATATTAAGAGTGACCACTTTTTTTTTTTTTTTTTTTTGCCTCAGTGTATTAGTATTAAATTGAAATTGAATCTTTAATAATGAACATTTAAATTCCGCCAAATGCTAGGTTGTTTATTCCATGGGGCATGGGTCCAAAACCTTGTGGAACTGAATATCCCAGAAGGAGGCATGAAAAGAGCTTCATCTGAGAGACTTTGAAAGGAAGTCCTGCAGGGCACTCTGCAGCAGCAAGGAAAAGGCTATGGTACTTGGGAAAACCATTTTTGAACCATGGAAATCTTGATACCAAACCCTGAGAAAAATATCTTTTTACTTTATAACTGAACTAGCTTATACCTGTGACTTTAACAACATGGGACTCTGTTTTAACGTACCTTTCTAATGAGATGCAAAATGCTATGGCATAATGTCTTGTTTCTCAAATTCTTCTATTTTTCAGTTCATTTCGGTTTATACATGGTAAAAATTGTCCCCCCCTTAGGATTGGAATTAAAAAAAAAATCCTTTCTTAATGCTATCCATGTCATTACAAGAATGAACAGTCAAAATTTCAGCCCTTTAGATCCAGTGGTTTGCTCTGTGCGTTATCTTTGTCAGTCATGGAACTGTTTTAAATATATAGATATGGATGGAATTTCAAAAATTCCTTTCTTAATGGCCATCAATGGCATTATAGGAGTGCACTGTCAAAATTTCAACGCTTAAAGCCTAGTACACACTGGGATTTTCTGTTCGGACTCTTTGTCGCGGAGCTGCGTCTGGGATTCGTTTTTTTTTTTTTTTTTCATTCGAGACACCACGAATCCGAAAATCTGGTGCGTTTTAGTATTTTTTGAATCCCATTTCAATTTTGCGGAACATTGAATCAGTGCAGACATGATTTCTGGACAATGTTGCGAGGCAAAGAGTCTGCGACAAAGAGTCTGAACAAAGAATCCTGTGTGTACTAGACTTATATCAACCCTCAGGATGCCAGTGCTTTTGAAAAAAAAAGCCCATTTGAATGTCGAGTTTGAATACAGGGTCACTGGATTCGAACCCGGGACCTTTACCTTACAGTGATGAGCGCCGTGTCAATGCCTAAACCGTTGTGGCCACCAACGCCCCCAATGATCCTTCTATGGTACTAGACTTTAGATTCCTGGTTTGGTCTGTGTATTGTCTGTCAGTCAGTCATGGAACTTTTTTATCCATTTAGATTGAATATCCAGGAAATGCAATAGCAATCTGCAAAATGGACCAAAGTTAAGTACTAAAGGAACAAATCAAAACAAAATCCTTAAAGGATTTTTTTAAATATATATTTCTTTTAAGAAAAAAAGGTTGGTTTACAAATATTACATGTCTAATATCTAACATTGTTTTAACATTTTTAAAGTTGTATTTCTTGTTGAAGTCTGTCTATTCTTGCTTGGTTTATTTGTCAGATGCATTTTGTCACAGAGACTATTAGCACTGTTAAATTCTATATATTTAAATAAATTGAACTGGTGTGAAAAAAGTTTTATTAAATCTATTTACATGTAATGGAACAATATTTTTGTTTTCACTTACAGCTTACGTCTCTTTATGATACGAGGCCTCCGATCTCGAAAGCCAAGATGACGTCGATCACCCGGTCGGCCATCAAGGCTATAAAATACTACAAACATGTTGTACAGAGTGTAGAAAAATTTATATTAAAAGTAAGAAATTGATTTATTATTTCTGTTTTGGTACCATTTTGCTAATATTTTTTTTTTTTCTCGCTAAGTGTAAGCCGGAATATAAAGTACCTGGACTTTATGTCATCGATTCGATTGTTAGGCAGTCGAGGCATCAGTTTGGGATTGAAAAGGATGTTTTTGCGCCTCGATTCGCTAGGAATATACAAACTACGTTTTTACATTTGTTTAACTGCAACGCCGAAGATAAAGTGAGTCAATCTTATCTTAAGATTAAGAATGAAGTTTTTAAAATGTTTCTTTGATCGCAGGGCAAGATTGTCAGGGTGCTGAATTTATGGCAGAAGAACCAGGTATTTACGACAGATGTGATACAGCCCCTTCTCGACATGGCAAGCTTGGCGAATAAGGACCAGCTCGTTTTACCGAGCAATGGAGTTATGCCGTCAGGTATTCGATCAAAATTCGTTATAATTTTCCCCGTAATTTTTAATTTTTATTCGCACAGGAAATAAACCATCACCCGTGAAAGATCCAAGTTGGCTGAGCGGTAATACTTCTGAACTTAATACGTCCGGCCTCCAGATGCCTGCACCGTCGCCTGTCAAACAGCCGGTAAGTCGTGCAGCCCTATGTGCTAGCAACAAAAGCCTAAGTAATAGCCTCTAGTTTATAAGTTAACAATTTTAATGGTACCGTAGGACGGAGGACCGTTCGATCCAAATATTGTGAACCAACTTCAAAGCCTGCAGAATTTGCTTTTCAACAGTCAAATTGACAATTTAGCTATGAAGAAGGAGGAGGTATGGTCTAGATTTTCAGACTTTTTTATGTGTTGATTGTTTGTTTGGGCTCCTCCAATGTATTAATCGCTTGGAAAAATTTCTCGGTTATTTCAAATCTTGAATATTTAAAAAAAAATTGTTTTTATTTTTTTTAATTGTGAGATGTGAACAACATATTTACTAATAAAATGAGTGTCTGCCTATTCTTTATTACTACCATCAGAAGGTAATAAAACATCATCCAATTAAAAGTCATTTAAAAAATCCATGCCTCCTCATTAAAACATTGGAAGCATTATTATTGTTAGTATTTTTATTTTATTATTTAATAGGTCTTTTTTGCATGCAGTTTATTTTTTGTCAAGGTAGTTTTCCTTTCTTCCTTACTTCCAGCCCAATCAAATTTGTGTGTAGTAGTTCGTTAATTAAAGTAGTTACTATTGTGTGTAATTTTTGTCTTGAAATGTGCATGTTTGTGATACAGTAAATAATTTAGATAATTGTTAGACCAGTTTTATATGTAACAATTCACAGCTGCGGAAGTTGTATTATGCTTTATGCTTTCCACTTTTATTCAAAGCGCACTATGTAATAAAATTAGCAATATAAACAGATCCACAATATTGTATGAAAGGAATGCTTAGGATTTAGTGGCGCCGATGTGGTCAGTCCGCAGGCCAAAATTAGAAAAATGAACAGATTTTTTTTTCATCATTCATTGTTTTCCCCGTGTTACAATAGTATAAGAATTAAAAAAAATCCTATTCCTTAAAAATCCTTAAAAAATAATTCCTTAAAAATCTATTAAAATTTGTCCCATTAATATAGTAAATTTAATTTCCAGGTCAAATTTGATAAAAAACTTCTTGATTTCGACTATGAGGATGATGATGAAGAACAACAGCAGCCTCCTCAGCCGCAACAGTCTTCAATGCCTACACAGCCGTTGCCCAGCATCGACTCCCTGCAAACGTCAGTAAAACCCACATTTTCATATATATAATAATTTTTTACATATTTGGTATGCCTTTAAAAATTCTGTTCATCAGTTCAAGTATCAGTTTCAAAGTAAGGAAATTTTATTGGGTAATGAATTACATGAAATATCAAGAATAGAGCATTATTTTTCATGATTTAAAAAAAAAAAAAAAAAAACTACATAATATTAATATACACTAACTTCATTTTTCTTTAAATTTGGAACAGTTAGAGATTAAACTGTAAATATTGTTTTATGGCTTTCCCGACAAAAATATTTTTGGCTTATGCCACAGTTTTGGTAAAAGTTTATATTTGTGGTTCAATGTTGTACTTATTCTTGGGGGGGGGGGGTTGTATAGAAGTAATAAGTAAAGGAAAGGTATGTTGTATACATATTATGCCGCTTCTACTTGCTTTTTTGTGAAGGTCTTAATCAATTTTCAAGAACAATAATCTTTTGCGTTGACTTCACAATAAATTGACCACATTTTTATGTATTTGTATCAGACAAAATAGAATATAGTTAAAGCCAGCTCCAAATTGGTTTAAGTTTTATTTATAGCATTTTAGGCTTGTGTCAATTTTATTTTACATTAATGAAATTTAAATTCGGATCTAATAAATAACAAATTTATTACTATATCTCTATAAAGATTTAACATATTCTTTAGTCCTCAGGAAATTACTTTCTTGTCGGGATTATGTAGGAGACGAAATTTAGGTTAATAGTGTTTAAATTTTTTAACTAGATAATTTGAAAATGATAAGGAAAAATAAATAGAAATTCCAATGAATTTTTCAAGATTGGACCCCGTTGATGTCCGCCGTTATTTGTTGTTCTTGCAGGTTATACAATTTTTTCCGTAAGCAAAGGATAAATGCAATATGGCAAAATGACGAAACAAATAACAAATGATTTGATCTCCACTCAATTTTTGGATTATTATAGATTTTGACACGATTATTTAAAGTGAAAGACAGTAGAATTTATCCTTTTAAACTCAAAACAAACCGCCTCAGCCTAAAATACGAATTATGAGCAGTTCACATTATTGGCAGATTACATTCCTACGATTATTTTCTTGTAATAAGCAAGTTTTTTTCTTCTTCCACAAGAATTATTATCACCACTTACATTAAATGCTTGTTGGCCCCTTTCAATAAATGTTTTCAAGATACAGAAATTGTACAAGTAGCCCTAGCAAAACAGAACTGACGCAATGTCTTGTCGACTCATCATCGCCACAGCATGTATAAGCAAAAATGGTGTATGGTAAGAAAGGAAAATCAATAAGAAAAAAAAGTTATTTTTTATTTGGTTTAAATCATCACGAAGATAACAAAATAACTTAAAAAAAAAAATTAAAAACAGGTCAGGATAATGCAAGAAGATAATTCCTTAATTACAATAAAAATTATTTAATTGAATCAAGCCCTGCAAAGTTTGCCAACAATTTTCTTTTATTATTATTTTTTTTTAATTTTTTTGATATTTTTCTAAATTATAATGATAGCAATTCAGTTAAAGAAGTAGTTGATGTTTTGCATGATTGTTTTTTTTTTCATTTTGGTGTTGAAATTTTAAAAAACCTTTTATGAAAAGATTTTGATTCACTGTTTATACTTCTGTCCTTGTTTTCTGCCAAGCTATTTATTTACAGTTATATTATGAAAAACATCAGTCCCGTTTAAAAGATTAAAAAAAAAAAAAAAATCATTTAGGATTTTGGATGGCTTTATCACTTTTTATATTTTTACTTATGAAGTATTCTAAAAAGAATTTAAAGTTTTTATAAAGCATGTTTACAAACAGTATTTTTTAAAGTATTCCAAAATAATATCCACCCTTGCTGAGTCCAATAAATAAGCAATATCCCCTCTTATTGAGTCTTAGTATATAACAAAATCAAATGAAGACAAGGTAAGCTCAGTCACTAAAACGTTAGAGCCGCTGAACTTCATGGTCAACCGCAGATGAACAACTCTACAAACCTCCCACATCAAGTAGAATACATTTAAAAAGGTTTGTTCCACGACTAGTTCTAAGTCATTTTCTCAGATTTTCTCATTTCAAAAGGGTTGGGGGTTGGGATTTAAAACGGGGTAGAGATCTCGAGTGCTGTGCAGAGCCAATTCCTAAAAGCACTGTTTTTGGAACCACACTTCTAGATTTAATATTTCCAATCGAATTTAATTAAATCAATGTATATGTTAAATATGATTCATTGATTTAAACCCTGTACTAATTAACTATATATTTTTAAATTAATTTTTTATGTTATGTGTTACAGGAGAGATTGATTGCTGTCAGTTTGTTCTCATATTTTTAATTTTTTTTTTTTAAATTTGTAAAGGTGTCACTTATAAAAAACTGTAGCTTAACTACAGCCATAACAACTCATGATTTTACACTTTTTTAAAATTTACTGTAGATGTTAGTCCACATTAAGTAATTTTTTAAGTCAGTATTCTAATTGTATGCCTTCACTTGTATATTACGTTTTATTCCAACATTTTCAACTTAAAAAAACCTACAATATAATTTAATGACCTGTACAGAAAAAACAAAATCGGATTTAGTTAGTAGCAATATTTTGATATCTTGATTGACTCAAGTTAATTAAGTACGAATAATTTTATTTTAACAAATACTTAGAAAGAATTGCGAATAATTTACTTTGCTATCCGATCAAGTAAATAAAACAGTATTTTGAAAAGTACATTTTGATGATAATTCTTATATATCTTCTATTCACTCATTTTTCCTTTTTGGTAACAATTAAACCTTCAGATTTGCACTTTCATTTTCTTTTATTTAAATCTCGGCCTTTTCAATGCAGTAAAAATCGGACAAGACCTCTCATCCTTTTTGGAAATTGGGCATTAAAGAAAAACGCTGTTCCTGAAATTGGACATCCGATGTTATAAGTGCAGTACATTAGATCTTTAGAAAAATATTTTCGCTGAATAATTTAGTTAAATGATTACTTTAATCTTTTAAAGTGAAAAATCCCAACGGTCCCAAGAGAACTCTCACTCTCAGGCCATGGCAAAATATTTGAGGAAATGACGAAATTGAACCCTCTATTAAAAAATTGAAATTTGCGGCAAAGTTTTATCTTTAGGTAACAATATTAGGGCTATAAACAATTTGTAAAATATTTTAATTTTGAACTTACAATTTAATATTTTAGAATAATCCATTATATTATTATTACATTTTTATTTTACTTTTCATAAAAACGTTTGATACGGGGCAGATCGAGATTTTTCCATAGTTAGTCCACCAATGTCATGTACAAATTGTGATAAAAAGCTTGGTGAAACTCGGTGTACTTCTGATTTCAGTGGGATCAACAAGCGTATTTTTCCACATGAGGAAAAGCTATGTATGTTTGACCCGTTTGCTGGAAAACTATACACACAATATAAATGAAACCTTTAAAAAAATGCTTAGTTAATGACTTATGCAGCAGAAGTAATTAAACCATAAACTAAAGAAGTAAGAATGATAATAATTATCAGTTGTAATTAAAAAAAAAGGAAAATTCTGGTTATCTTTTTTTTTATACTGTAGTTGATCTAACAAGTTACCTACAAAACGAGATTAAAAAAAAAAAATTAAAAAATACTAATAAGCATTGCTTTTTAAGATATCATAGTTTATTTTTGCTGTAAAAAAATTTAAAAAATAAATACAATTTGAATGTTTTTGTAAAATGTTAAATTGTGGGCTTAAAATAAAATATTTTCAAAATTGATTGTAGCCCTAATATTGTTACCCAAAGAATAAACTTTACTCACAATTTCAGTTTTTTTTAAAAAGAGGGTTTGATTATTGTCATTCAATAAAATATCGAAATCCGGCACTGTGTGGCGATCCCTGAGGCTGACCACCTGAACAAGTTGTGGTTGGGACCACAGTACCGCTTTTTCCAATTCACCACACTTTTTGTACCTCTCTGGTCTAAAATAAAATCCTGAACATGTTAGCTGTTAAAATTTCTTCAAGGGTAAATTTTTATTTTAAGGCTATCTCAGTCCTGATTTTTTTTTTTTTTTTTTTTTTGTAGTTGTCTATTAATAATGTGCATACAGCCACTGTATTAGGTTTTCTATCAAATTTCTGTATCCTATTCCTAAGTTAAGTGACCGCAATCATTTTGCAAAGTGGACCGCCAAAGTGGGACCGCTTGGCGCCAGGGGAAGGAAAGGGACATTTAAAACCAGCCCCTTATGCTGTAGCGGACTAGGCTCCTCATACCGTTTTTTTTTTTTTTTTTTTCTAAATAAATTAGTATATTTGTAGTTGAGAAAACAATAAAATTATCCATGTTTTTGTTCATTCATATACTAAGGTACTAAAAAACTTAAAAATCTCATTTTGGCCTGAGAGTGAAATATGCAGGGGTGTATGGTGCTTCAGGTCTTAAAGAAGTAGTTAAAAAAGTAGTTATGAAACTTAATTGGCTGTAAAATGTTAAATATAAAATGCATAAATACAATAATTATAATTGATTTATTATTTTTTATGCAAAGTTGGGCTGGGTTGAAAAATTAGTGGCACAAGTGGAACTCGAACCCACATCTGGATGGTGTTTGAGACCCACTCGTGACACTAATTTTTCAATTCAGACACACTGCATAAAAAATAATAAATCAATTAAAATAATTACTTTGGTAAATAGGACCGATTAAAGTGTATAAATTAAAAACAATAATATTAATTTTGTGTGTGGACTTATTATTATTTATTTTAAATCTGGTTCTAGATTCAAAAGCTTGCATTGTTGTGTTAAATTCTGAAACTTTGCTTATTAATAGTCTTATTAATTTTCAAAATGTCAACTTCATTTTTTGGTTTCCAGGACTGGATGAACAGAATAAATTTTTTTCTCTCATTTTCAATCGACTGAAACCTTAGCTGACATATAGTAAAGCCGTTTTTGTCTTTAAACTTTTCCAGAATCCTCTCCAACCCGGAGGTACTGAGACAGCTTCAGACCCTGCAGCAGCAGATGTCGTCACGCCAGCAGCAGCAGGAGATGGAGGAGAAGATGCGCCGGCTCCAAGAGATGCGCCACCAGGAGGAAGAGTTCGACAAGCACCTTGCCCAAACCCTTCCTGTTAGTCCATACCTTTCGAAACTACACACTCTTCCTTCCTTTACCAATCAGTAAAATTTAAAAAATTTAAAAGTGTGGTTCCACAAATAGTTAAAAGAAAAGGAAAAAAATGGGAATTGGTTTAGCGTAGCATTCTTGAAATATTTGATATTTTGGTGTTGGCAGTTATAAAGAATTCACAAAAATGAGAGTAAAAATGAGTACTACTTCTGTTTTTATTGTTGTACTTAATTTGTACAGTGGGCATCTTTTAAAAATCAAATTGAATTTATGGTTTTTATGTCAATACAACAAATTTGCCTGGGGTTTTAAAAAAATTAGATTTTTAAAATATGATTGCCGGCTTGTTGTTATCTAGAGAAATAAAATGTCCTAAGATAATTTGAATATTTGTCCATAACAATCGAATTATTCTGATTGGATATTTACTAATAATGCAATTTTATTTATACTCAATAAAATGGAATATGGAGGATGAGCATATGCTTGTTTTTGGTATGCTAGTGGTACAGAGTAAAAAAGCAGTGTCTAAACAATGTTAATTTTTAAACATTTAACTTGGTTTTTCACGAATAAAAAAAATTTATACATAGGAAGCGCTGTAGTAGAGTTATTTCTGGTTTTAAGATTCTGTCTTGTTTGATTTTGCAAACATTTTTATACACAAAGATTATCTTAATGAAATCAATCTACAAAATACTTTCATTAGTCTTGAAATATTTTTTTTTAACAAGTAGGCTTATGATGTTAAGTTTGTTTTTATGCAGTTTCAATACTACCATAATTACCAATAATTATACTACCATGGCTGCAATAATCATGGTATATTATTGCTAATAAAGACAATAATAAGAAAAAGTATCAACTACTTTTAAGTTGAATTTTGGTCAGTTCTTTACATCTGAGAATTGGACAAGTGAATTTGTTTTGATTAGGGATGGTTACTGGATAGGATGAATAAGTGAAATTTAATATACAGTGGACTCGTTAATCTGTGGGGAATATGCACCGAGCATTTCCGTGAATAATAGGAAACACCTTGAATTTCATGTTTCAAATTATTTTCTTGGTATTTTCTCTATCTGTATATCAAACAGTCATTTTCTGCATTATGTGTCTTACCGTCAGTATTAAGTACGAGTGTGTAAATTTCATAAATTAATCTCAACCAATTCCTTAATTAGAGATTAATTAATTGAAAAATATTATTTAGTCAAGCGGACCATGATAACTAGTGAAATTTTATAAATTTGTAACTTCGTTATTTGCAAAAATCTGTATGTTTATGGGTAATAATTTCTTTAAAAGTTCTAAACAAAGTTTGATATTTATTGAAAGTACTTTATTTGTTTAAAAAGTGACAAAGCAGAAGAACCTTATTTCCCTCAATTACATGGGAATTTAGTAAGAAATTTTACGATTGGTTTAAAGAAAAGCAAGGAAGTATAGTTATATATTAATAAAAATGAATGTTTTCACTGTATACTATTTGTTATTATATTTACCATTATATTTGTTTTAAATTTTATAATTTTTTTTTAAATTTTGCAGAATTTGCCTTTCGCTTCGGAATGTGATTTTAAGCCGACAACAAGCATAAATTCAAGTGCCGGCATGGGAGTCGGAATGGTGCCTCCGGCTGATTTGCTGTCATCGTCACTTTCGCAGTTTATGTCTCAGCCTCCACCGCCGCAGCCCACTTCGAACACAATTCCGGCTTACACGACATCGACATCCAACAACGCGTATCGAAACCAGCAGAATGTTCAGGAAGAGTCGTCTAACAATGATTACGACGAGCGTAACAGGTACTGCCTTAATTGTTTTATACCGGGAGGGGAACATGCATGTCTTCTAAAAGTAATAAAGATTTATTTCACAAATATTGAAATTTAACAATTGAGATTAATTTAGAAGAATGAGCATGTGCACGAATTAACGCTAACCGAAGGAATGCAGGTTTGATGGGTGTTAATTGCAGAAACGCACCTAGAAATACAAAGGGAGGTGTAGGAAATGATAAGATGCTGGGTGATATGGAAATCATCGATCTCATATCTGGTGATTCTTGCGGGACTAGGTCCCCTCCACAGTCTGGAGGACGGAGCGGCAGCAGGGACCGCGGGAGGAGGAGGGACCGTGGCAGGAGTCCGTCGCCCAGAAGCAGGGACAGGAGTCGTAGGTCGAGATCCAGGTCCAGGAGAAGGGGTCAGCGCTCGAGGTCCAGAGATGATCGCGACCGCGACAGAGAACGGGAAAGAAGGCGAAGAGGTCTCCCTCCAATCAAAAAAGGATATCTTTCTGGTATAACATTTAAAAAAAATTAAATTAACTAGAGAAAAGTTAAATATTTATTTTTCTAAATTTAGTTTGCAGTACCACACTTTGGATCGGCCATCTGTCCAAACTTGTGCAGGAGGAAGAGCTGTCCGACACTTTTGGTGGGTTCGGCGATATTGTATCTATTGATATAATACCTCCGAGAGGCTGTGCATTCATATGCATGAATCGTCGGCAAGATGCTTCTAAGGCTTTGCAACAACTCAAGCATTACAAACTACAGGGGAAGGCCATAACGGTAATTTATTCGTTGATCTAATTGACCAATGTTAAAGTTACAAAATAAAATTTGTTTTCAGATTGCTTGGGCCCCAGGAAAAGGGATGAAGGATCGTGAGTGGAAGGACTACTGGGAAGTTGACCAGGGCGTCTCGTATATCCCATGGGGGAAGCTCTCAAGCGACATGGATATCACATTTTTGGAAAACGGTGGTGTTTTGGATGAAGACACTTTCCCAGATTGGCTTAGAAGTGAGTAAACCTGTTTTTAAGCCTTTCTTTGTATTATTATTTAATTTAATTTGTAGCTTGATCAAAATTAAAAACTTTTCAAATGATTTCATGGGTTTTAAATAGTAGATCGTTCACCCCCAGGACATTTAAAAGTTTTTGAAATATTTTAATGAGAGTTGAATCAATCTAATAATGTAAATTATAATTAATCAGAAAAAAATGTGTTTTTGTTTAAAATCTTTTTTAATCAATTTTATTCATCGAAAATAAAATTATTTAGTTTTTCTAATACATCAATATAATTTCTATCAATTGGTCACTTACATTTTCATTAAAATACAACCAATTTATGCAGCCCATGGGGGTGTATTAGGTTCTTGGAATAAAAAAATCAAGTCTACAATGTAATCGTTTATATTATATGAATATTAATAATATTCTTATTGTGCTAAACAATTGTAACATTTCAAAAATTTAAATAACTTCATGTCATCACAAAAAGTCACGAAAATGAATGCATAATAAGTTATAAAGGCAATACATCACACTAAAATGAGGCTTAAAATAAATTTATTCATTCAGGCTTGTAAATAGAAATGTAGTAGCAACTTTCAGGAGATGAATAAAAAAAAAAAACACTGCCTTGTAGGTTTCTAGAACCTTGTTAAGCAACAAAATATTGACGGACATACAACTAGGGCAAGAGATGAAGACTTTTGATCAAGCTACTACTGGTCATCGTTTCGAAGACCGACTGGCTTAATTGTACAATATTTCACGATATTTTGATTTCGCAGATGCACGAAGAGAAAAAGACTTCAAGAAATTTGGTGGAAACCATGAAGATCAAAGTCAACAAATGGACAATAACATTGAAGGAGAAAAGAAGAGCCTTGATATTCCTATGCCCAATGTTTCAGGAGCAACTCCTCTGCCTCCTCCGGGTGGTTTTCTCCCGTTGCCAGAATCAGGAGCACAGCCTCCAGGAGGCATGCCACCGCCAATGGGCCTCTTGCCTCCGTTTGCTTTGCCTCCAAGTATGTCCTTCAACTAGTTTAAATCCTATAAATGAAACAATATTTTGATGAGATTAAGTAGGTTTGTTCCAACGTACAATCAATAACTTGATGCCAACTAATCCATGATTTGTCTATGTATGCCTGAATGCATCGACTGATCCTGATTCTTAACTCCGTTAGAATGCTTTTTCCAATCTCAGACCCAACTGTTTGTAAAAGTTTCCTTGCTTCTAGATTTACAGGAGAACCGATTATGTGATGTCCAAAATTCAGACTCACCATCGCTGCCGTTCTCCAAATATTTATAGGGCATTTCAGACCACACTTCAAATATTTATAGGACATTTTAAACCACCCTATGTATACAGTGAGTAATGGGGGAACGATTAGAACTACAGATGATAAAAAAAATGTTCTAGAAACAACAAACAAGTGGTTCAAAAGGGCTCAAATTGATGGTATCTTTGAATCAGAGACCATCTTCCAAGTGATCTGCACCGATAACAAATCTAGATTCCTCTGGTCTATCTATATTTCAAGTCATATTTAAAGAATATTTAAAATTTGAAATTTTTATTATTTGACAATATTATATTATTTTATTAATAAAAGCCGACAACATAATTCTCTTGAAATAATTGGTTTAATTGAGGCCGCCATATCTAAAACTTTTGGGCTATTTTTTTTCCTTTCTCAAAAAAATTAATTTTCCTGAAGTAGTCTGGTTGTGGAAGAATAGGGACCTCATTTGAAATGCAAAAATAGTCAATCGGTCTTCTTTCTAATTATGTTTTTTGCGGGACTGAAATTTTTCTGTTATTTTTCCTTTCAAAATGAATGTACTAGGCCGAAAAAAATGTCTATATATTAAGAAGAAATTATTCAGTTATTATTTGTGTGATGTCTCTTGACATTCATTCTGCGTATTTTAATATATTTTTAGAACAAATTTGAGGGTTTTTTTTACAGCATATTATATTGCATATTTGAGGAATTTTATTGCATACATTCTTGATCTAGTTATAAATAAGAAATTTCTGATTTGCTGTACATAGCCAATGTTTTGATGGACAAAAACAAGTAACAAACTTGGCCTGAATTGAGTTGGAACGCTGTCTGACAGAAGTTTGGAATTATAGCACATTGGAACGTGTGATGGAACAAACCTTGTACTTAAACATTTTTACCAAGAATTTGTTGCTGAATTTAATTACGATTTATTTTTGAATTATTACTTTTTTTTCTGCTGTTATAAATTTTTAAAAATTTTTGTCTGTTGTGACTGGAATGGTCTAAACACTGATTTTATGAAGATTTTTCAGGACTTCTTGGTGCACCGATGGGTGGTCCCATGGGACCACCGATGGGCCCGCCGATGGGACCGCTTGGAATGGGCAACGTGCCTCTAGGAGTACCTCCTCCGATAATAATGCCACCGCAGGGGATGAGGATTCCGCCGGGGGCGGCGCCTTTCAGTCCGCAAGGTTCGTTTCTGTGAAAATACCCTGATGACAATATTACTAAAACCGTTTTTCATTTCCAGTCGGGCTTATGCCGATGGATAACAAAACAAAAGGGATGCCGCCGCCGATGCCTCCTCCAGACGGCACGTTCTCAGAACATCTCGCTTCCATGGTCAACCCATTCGGACTTCCTTTGTCAGCTCTTACAGGTCAGTCATCTCAAACCCTTCTGCCTACTCCTCCCCCTCCACCACCAATCCTCACTTCCCCTCAAGACATGTAACCCACCGTTCCCACACTTGCCACTAGTCAGTAATTTTATATAATAAAAAACAAAAAAGAATGTTAATTCGTTAATACAATTTATGATAACTGGAATACATTTATCCTTCCACAAATAAATTTCTTTTTGAAAAAAACACATCTAGACATCTTATTAAAATTTTAAGTAATTAGGCCCTGTAATTAGGCAGAATAACATCAGCAATAGTCAATTGCTTAGAAAATTAAAACTACAAACAGTTGATGTGAATAATTAACAAAATATTACATATTGATGATAGAATTCAATTGTTTTTGGGAAAAATTTGCTTTTTTGTAATACAGTTTTTAAATAATTTTGGTCCTTTATGTATTGGATTGTTTAAAGGGATTTTTTTAAATTATAAAATTTCACTGCTTCATACATAATTTCTTGTCAGGAAATCTAGTACACATTTTCTCTTTAACACAATTTTTTGCTATGATCAATTTGTTTTTATACAAACAGATTTAAATTTGTATGTCAAAATTGATTTAATCGTGTAATTGAGGTGGAGGGGTTTTTTTTTGGTATTAAGAAAGAATGGTTTGATATGCCTGACAATTGAGTTGATCAAAACCAAGAAAAAATGTGAGTTTCCGATGTGAACAAATCATAGCATAAATTTAGCTGTACAGTAGATCCTTGGTTAACGTCATCTCGGCTTACGTCATTTGACTTTTATGGTATAATTTTCATTTTAATGTCGTGTTTCGTTATTGCATAACTGAGTCCCTCCTTGGACTTGTACTGACGGTTGACTGTTTCTTGTTAACATGGTTCTCAGAAACCCCTTCTTGTCTTTTCATTTTTATAATTACTTTAGTGTAAGAAGTTAATTCATAGTAGCCGATTTTGTTGTTTTTTCTTCATATTATGTATATATACTCAGATAATCATCACTTAACCGTGTTTCCAGGTCCCTAACCACGACATTAATCGAGGACTTACTAAACTTGATAATAAAAACAGTTGACTTTTTAGTAGACATACACTTACTATATTTTTCATAATGAATATAAAAGAGCTTTTAAATTAAAATAACAAAGCATAGGACAAAAACTATACAATTTTAGTTCATCAAATTGTTATTCATATTTAATAAAATATATTATTTATTAATTATAAAGACATTTAATTATATAGAGAATATATGTTCACTTGTGTGCGTTCTAGGTTTAGGAGGTTTACCACCCCCTCAGCCAAAACCGAGTGGGAATGATATGGATGTTGAAGACGATTCCCAGGTCGAATCCAAGGAGAATTCTCAACAACATAAGTAATTATTATCACTTGTTTAGAACAGCAAAAAAAAGGCCGGAAAAAATAGTGTTTGTTTTAGCCTCGGGATTTTGAACAGTCTGATGAACCCGGCACCGTTCATGCAAATGACGCCTCAGGGCAACCCCCAGTCGAACTTCAACTCGCAAGCCCGCCAAAAGGAGGAACAGGACCAACGAGGGGACAAGCGCGAACGCGATTCTCCCGCGGATCGAAAACGGGGCTCGAGGATGGACAAGGACGATCGTAAAGACGACGACAAAAAGCGCCGGCGGGACTCGCCAAACCGAGACCGTATGGATAGGCGGGGTGGTGGCCGCGGAGGTATGGACAGGCGGTCAAGAGGAGACTGGGGAAGATCGAAATGGGAACATGATAATTCTCCCGATGGGTAAATAATATAATCCTTCAAACTATTACTTTAACTACAAGAATTAAATAATACCAAAAAGATTAGATTGTAAATTTAAATGAACAAATTTAAAAAAATCTAATGGCTATATTTTTATGAATCTTGAAGCTTTTTTCCATCAGGTTCACACCAGCAGATATTATCGCAGAAATATTAGGTACACAATTTTTATCCTTAAGGTGGCCATTCACGATCGCTCCTAGCAGTCCAAACGGAGCGACGCCGTTCCAAAAACCAAGTCAATGGCAAAACTGAACTGGCGTGCCCAGCTGTGCCGAATATTCGACCGGTCCAAACTCCATTGCGCCACTCCAAATATCTACGGTGCGACGACGGCATGGCCCGTTCGTAAATGGGAACACCCGCGTTTTTTTGGCGCAGTCTCAGTTTTTCTCTCACTGAGCAAACATCTCCATCGTACATTCTCAAAAAGTCAAAAACGTTTATTCTTTATTGGTAATGACATCCAATCGAGATTTTAATGTTGAGTGATTGAATTGTATGAAAGTTTACCATGTTTATGGAAAGTGGTGGACAATGATTACCACGATAGAAATAAAAGAAATTTGATCCTCAACCAGTTGGTCGACATTTTCAAAACAAAGGATACAAATGCAACGAGAGATGCTGTATTGATAACAATGATCAGAAATCGTAGTAGAGAACTTAAGTTCTTTGTAGTTCATCCCTGTAGCGAGAAATCGTAATGTGGTTGCCAACCTTTCATGTAGTGATGATTTCTCTCATAACTGCCTTTTGTTTTCTAATCAAGGGGGTAACAAGCTGGAGTAAATGTAAATAAGACGTTAATCTTTTTTTTTGTTGTAAGGTTTTGGTTGAAATGAAAAAATAGTGTCACAAGGGGATTCGAATCCACGACATTCGGCTAAATACGCCGCTGCGCTAACCACTTGAGCTATCCTGACTTCGATAGTTCAATCCACTCAGGCACCAACTCCCCATCTCAACCTACAATCTTTCGAATTTTCTCTCTTTTGCCATTTTTTGGTGTCGGAGAGGAGGAAGTCACGATAGCTCAAGTGGTAGAGCAGCGGCGTATTTATCCGAAGGCCATGGATTCAGATCCCGCTCGTGGCACTAGCTTTTTCATTTCAACCAAAACCTTACAAAAAAGATTAAATAATTGAAAGAAGTAATTTGGTCAATAGAACACTAAATATAATGAATAAATAAGACATTTCATCCATCCTTAAATAGTTCCTCCAATCTTTCATCAAATTGATTTGGGTATTACGGCTTCTGTTCAGGAGCCACTTCTTACACCATTTCCTCTTTGATTTTTTGCTTTTAATATGTAAATAAACGGAAGAGTAGCACAAGAGATCGTCATCCATTTTGAGAAGGTAATTCACTGGTTGACGTTCGGAGCGACTGGCTGTGGAGCGGTCGTGAATGCCCCCTCAAATTTCAGGCACTCCAAATGGAACGCTTGGCGCGGTTCCATTTGGAGTGATCGTGAATGGCCACCTTAAGCTAAGTGGCGTTCATACAAAAGAGAGTGAGCCAGCCAATACAAAGCCAATGCCCTCACTCCTTGAATTTGTCATCTTCACCCTTCACAATATCGTGAAACTGAAAGAAGAGACAAGCGTTTCGTGGTACCCATATTTTAAGACATGTCGCAATCGTATTTTGTTGTTCCTTTATGTTTTTTATAGGTCTGACTGCTGGTCAACAAGATCGTACATCACTTACGACCAATAGATATCGCTTCGGTGTGAATCCTACCTTACAGTTCCAAACAGATCAAGTTATGATGAAAAAAGCAAATTCACTTGTTACTGACAAGCTTTCGAACTATTTTAAGGCTATCAACAGAGCAAAACAATCTTAAATATGTCATAGTCCTTGGCAATGTTGGAACTTGGGACTGTCTGTCTTCAAAGAAATTTGAAATTGCCTGTAAAAAAATTTAAATATGTCAATCTATAGACATATTTGAGATTGTTGCCCTGATGACCTTAAAATGGGTCAAGCTTGGCAGCAGCAACTGAATTTGCTTTTTCCATCAAGACCTTGATCTAGTGTTCATTAGTGAAAAACTAGTCATACTTCCAACACTGAAAACTATTACATTTTTTTAACTAACTAACTTGTAACTGTATTCTTTGAATAAACCCTGAATTACAAATCCCAACAATCTCCATTCTGACTTCCTTGCAAGTAAAAAAAGCTGCCTACTTTCAAAGAAAATTTCCAAGCCTTCTTAGCGCCCACCCTGTCCAATTTATTGAACCACTGGTCACTAAACAACACACAATATAAATAAAAATAATCAATTATTATTTAATTTATTATTATATGAAAATAAACTAAGCCATGTCTAAATTTGTCAGTTTATGTAGCCTGTTAGTGACAAGTTATTTCAAGTAAATTTAAAAAAAATTCAGAGTTCCACTCATAAAATATACTTGAAAATAAATGTGTTGTAGAAGAAATATTTCATTTTCTCTTTTCTTTATATTAAAATTGTTTTGTTTAGCCTCAGACCAGACAGGCGATCGACTAACAGTCCATTTGTTGACGGACCAAAACCTTTTCATGATGCCAATGAAAGACAGCCTTTATTACCATTACCATATCATGACCAACATTTTAACCAAGGGCGACAGGGACCTCCAGGAGGTATGTTAACATGTTATAATAAAATCTGACAAGAAAAACAAAAAGAAATATTTTTTTGTAGGATTTGGCCATCCAAGGGGATTCAATGACAATGACAGAGATGATTATGGTGATTTCCACGGAGACTTCCATGGCGGTCCTGGGGGCCATATGAGTAGAGATTTCCCACCGAGCGGTTACCCGCCTTTCCCGCCTAGAGGCCATCGTGGAATGGGCCCCCACAGCCCAAGGCCACTCCTCCGTAAGTATTTAATTAAAAAAAATAAAAATAGGCTGTTTCCGAATTTTGTAAATTTAACTAATAATTCGTTTTGATATTTCATTTGAAGGCTCGTCGATGTACGGAAATAGGGGACCGGGAAGCCCGATGGGCGGTCAAGGAGGTCCTCCGATGGGAATGCGTGGCCCCAGACCTGGTAAATTAATATAATAAATATAATAATACAGCCATAATTATTTTTGAAAATTAAAATAATTTTTTTGGTAAAGAATTTAGCAGAAGAAGATAACATTTATTTACAACTTAAATTTTACATTTTTAAATTATTTGTGTTGATTATAAGGAAGAGTAAGTTGATAATATTCTTTATTAACAATTAAAATGTTGGTTTATTTATTTTCAAATATTATTTATTTCTAGATTAAAATTATATTGAAAAAATAAAATAAATATTTTAGGGCGGATGGATGGAGGAAATTTTATGAGAGGATTTCCAAACCAAGGGATGCGAGGGCGTGGTGGTAGATTTTCAGGAGGGCCACCCCCTGGAAACTGGCGATGGGAAGAACAACAGCAAAGCGGTAGTGGTACAAGTGGCATACCGCCGTTGATACCGAATCTGGTCGGCGATCGCAAGTCTCGGGAGGAGAGGAAATCACGCTGGAGCTCCGCAGAAGAACGGAAGCCGGAAAGTTCTTCTCAAAGTGAAAAAGAGGCGAAAGAGGAAAAACCGGAAGAAAAGCCCGCAGAAGATAACACTTTTGAATCTCAGGAGGACATGTTTAGACCAGACGATAAAGAAAAGACGGCCAAACCTTCACCCTCAAAAGAATCCGTAGCTAATCTTTACAGCCCGTCGATGGTCGACGACGAACCGGAGCCAGTTGTTCAGCAGCAGCCGGCCCTGGAGCTCTATAGCCCCGGGACAGTTGAAAAAGCCGAGCCCGATGCGGAACAGGAACGGCAACCGGCCGATTCGAACAGCGGAGAAAATTTCGAAAAGGCTGAAGGACACAACACGCCGTCACAAGTTAATGATGAATAAACTGTCCTTCGGGGCTCTAGTCCACGTTTTGCAACAGTGAGCAAGCCTTAAAGTTTAAGATTTTAAATTATGTATTTATGTGAATAAAAGAAATTAAGGATTGGTATTTAACCTAGGGAATTGAATTTTTCTTTGTTTTATTTTGTTTTGTCTTTTCTTTTTTTTTTATAATATAATTTCAAAATAACCAAATATTCTTTTATCTTACATTTTTACAGCAATGTTTTCACCATTGTTGGTTTTTGTTGTTAAAAATAGTTTAATACTTGTCACAAAGAAGGATGTTTAAATTTAAAAACAAATATTACTATATAGATTCTCATTTTTTAAGTTTTTCTTATTGTAACTTTTTTAAATATATTTTTTCCAAGTTTTTAGGTAAAGACAAAAACAAAAGCTATTCAAGAAAAGAAATTCTATAAGTATATATACATATGCATATATATAATATACAATAAAATCTATTGTAAATATGTAATAATTTGGAATTTTACTTATTATAAACTGTCAATAAAAAAATTTGTTACACAGTCAAAATAAATAAATAGCCTTTTAATTTGGATGTCAGAATAGTGCGGAAAGACGAGAGGAAGTTTCTCGTATTGGTTAGTGCTTGTAAATATAAAATAAATGTGCTGTAAAATATTATATACCCTTTTAAATGTTTATTCTAGCCTCAAGTTTTTGTTTATATCAGTTTTACGGCCGAGTTGATTTGTCAAACTACACAAGTGAAATGTTACTTTTATTTAATTACAAATACATATTTTGTTTAAAATTTTTTTTTTCACGGATGGGAATTTTATTATTGATTTCATCATTACTTAGTTTGGCAGTTGCTGTAATTCACGGCAATTGCAGAGGAAAATCGGTACAGATGGTTTGCCGGTACCTTTTTTGTAGGTAATAATTAAATAATAATAATAGACAAGAGAAATGTAAATATTTGTTCTTTAAAAGCTTTTGGATTACTTTATTGTATTTAAACATCTACATTAGCCTGGATTTATTAATCAAAACTTAGTTGTGAATACGAGAAGAAAACTGTAAAAATTAATATCGGGTAGGTTTATCCATCTATTGAAAAATTAACCATACGAAGAAATTTTTGTAAAGTCAGATTAAAATACAGAAAATGTTCGTGTCATACATTCTCAGAATAATACAAAGATTACAAGGATGACAAGGATAGGCCAATAAGGTCGGAGCGGCTTCTTTTTTAAATATTTTATATTTGTTTAAATCAAGTAGTCACAAGAAAAGTTGTTTTCTGTAATTGTTTTATTTTAATATCGTTGTGATATAAGTTGCAAGCAGGGCATATATCTATGAATTGGTATTTACACAGTAAAGTCGAGTTAATTTTTTTTTTTCATTTTGGTTTTATACAAGTAGTGTAAAATAAATAAAAAAATAAGTTGATTGTTGAACTATTATAAATTCATGATATGCTTTTAAAGACTTTATTTTACCTGAAATTCATTTTGATATTTGGCTTAGGAGAAAGAAAGTCCCAGTTTTTGTACACGCCTTAAGAAAAATCTTTTTAACAAAAACAAACAAGGACTAAACTGGTCCACCCAATCACTTATCCCAGAAATTCTGGTTTGTATTTGATTTTATTCTCATGAGATCTGATAAAAAGAAAAGTTTTGAAAATCTGAGATAAGCGTTTACGATAATCTATTTCGTTAAGATATGGTTCTTAATTCAAAATCTACATTAATAATTCCATTTATATTATAATGAAGGTTCAATTTATTAATACTAACAAATTTTCCTTTTTTTTTTTTTTTAAATACTGTTTTTTTTTTACAATCTATACCTAAAATTGGGAATGGAATACATAAAATGGTTGTTTAAGAAACGGGTATTTTCTTTTTCATCTACATCTCATTTTGAAAAAATATTACACTTTTTTTCCCCATTATAATAGTTTATAGTTCATTGTTTTATATACATTTAAATGTTACATAAGACAGGAAGGCTGGGTGTTTTTCATTTGTTAAAGGTTTACTCTACTTTTACAACAGATTTAAACAAAAAAAGTCTACATTCCAATTTTTGGTTGAAAACATTTATTTTGAATTTTTTCTGTACGATTGTCATTCGATGTTTTTTTTAAATATATTTTCTTTTTGTTTTGTTTAAATATACATAATACATATTTATAGATACTTATTTTTCATTATTGCTTTTTCTCTTATGGAATGTTAAATTTAAACATTTCAGAAAGTATTTATACAAACTAAAACAGCAGTCTTAAGGTAAAATACACATTTTAACAAGAACAAAAGGCTACGGTGGGGAAAGGATCGAGTATTGTTACATACTACTTATTAATAAACGAGCATAAAACACATGATTTTTCGACAGAGAAAATTACATTTAAAACATTACAAGTAAAAAATCTTAAAAGCTAAAATTTAAAAACAAAAAAAAAAGACAAAAAGTTCCATACAAAAATAAAACAGTGGATAAATCTTTTTCAATTATATTTACAAAAATGTACATTGGTAAATAAAAACATACATTGTACAAAACAAAATTTAGTAACTAAATCCACATTAAAACCCTGAATTTTGAGTCAAAAACAAATTCGAGATGCAAAACGAATGTCAATTAGGAAATTAAAACCTTAACGAACAAATTTACAACTTAAATACTAATAAAAAATTGCATCTCAAATTAACAAAATAACCGACCCAAAAAAATAAAATAAATTTTTTAAGGGAACTATATTTAAAAGTAAACTATCACTGGTTTTTCAATTATACTGTTTGTTACATAAATACTTAGTTGGTTTTTAGTTCAAATTTCAAAAGAACGAGAGGTGCCTAACACTGAGTAGATATAAACATTTATACCTATGATTTCATACCGAACATCAAGAAGATCCATTAAAATTGTTTTCCAATATTGATTCTTAGAAAATTTACTTGTTTCTGAACATTTTGAAATTTGATACTTTTAGTTAAACCTAGTTCCTCAAGTGGAAAAATTGACTAGCAGACATATATTATAAGAAATATCCTCATTTTATTTATTTTTCAATTTGTCGGTACAAATATTTTAAGACATTATACAGACACTGCATAGATCTTTGGTGAGGATAAAGTGATGTTTACAAAGGCTACAAATATTCTCAGAAACACACAAAGAAATTATGACAAATTTCTAACACCTAGGATAGTGATTTTTTTTGTTGTAAAATCACCAAAGATCAAAAGCACACACCTCACACAACCACTCTCCATATACGTACACTTATTAAATATAATAAAAATACACATAAAAATATTATATCTTCAATGAAGACTTGCACATTCAGCAAAATTTCCATATTATACAATTGGCAATTAAAAAAGAAAAAACATATCACATATAAAAACTAAGCCGCTCGACTGTTCATCTCTCGCCCTACCATCACAGATGCAAGTTTGTTTAACCAGCATTCTCTCCAATGATTGATCCATTTATTTTGTCCGATGGTTAAAAATACATCGCTCAGGAAAAAAATTAGGCCTGACATCATTTTAAAAAAATATCATTTACACTCGTATTTTCTCAATATGATTTCATTAAAGGTCAGCGAAGGATAATTTAACAGTGAAAATAAATAGGTAGCTTGATAAGAGAATGTATCTGGAACTAATTTTTGGAATAAGATTTTTTAAATAAAATTCATATTATGGATCTTACATATATTTTGTCACTCTGTTACAACCTATCGTTAAAACACTTTTGTTTTTACATGGACTACTTTAAAGGATTACAACCTTAAAGTACAATTCCACTTTTCTAAAGTTCAAAGTATATTTTGAAATTATAAAGTTAATCCTAAGGTTAAGGGCTTAAAATAATTTAAGTTGGCTTAAATATTTTTTTACTCAGCTAACAGGCTTCCTTTAAATAAATCTTAGAGGACTTTCAAAAGTGTATTAGCAAATATATTTGTGCTCGGGATTGAACTAATCACGGCACCCAACCGAGATGAGACCTCGTCTGAATTAGTTTAATTTTGATATTTTCTCACGACTGATTACACTTAGAATTTCTTGAATATCTTGGGCACACTACAAGAGAACTTTGCTATAAATTGAAAATGCTGATCCGATCATCGTAATAACTGTGAATCACGAGACAAGCTTGAACTTCAAAGTGAAAAACCACATCGCGAATTTAATATAACCAGGGATATGTTGAGAATATAAAACCGAGAGATTTTGAAGTTCACCTCGAACAATATAAACTGGTGATTTTCTTTTTAAAATAACACTTTTTTTTGCCCTTACCCAAATTTTACGTAAATTTGTGTTTTTCAAAAAAGCTTAGAATTCTTTTTTATAAGAAGAACTTTCTACTGAAGCTTGTTAAAGAAATCTGTGCCTCTTAAAAATTAAATTAATTTCTTATTCACGTTCACATTATTTTTTAATAGGTCTCAATTTCTGCTATTTTTAATGTTTTATTTTTTGACATTTAAAGCCCATTTTGACATTCAAAAACCTCATTCAGAATGAAAAAACACCTTGAAATATTTAAATATTTAATTTACACATAAAACGTGATAAATTCTGCTATCAGAGCTACCAAAAATTAGAAAGAGATGAGAAACAATTACACAGCCAAATGAAATGATTAATAAAATAGACCTTTATTTAATTGAGAAAAAGAGAGAAAAAAAGAAAAGAAAAAAGGGAAAATCGTTGCTTGTATTCATTGTTTGATTTATCTTTAAAAAGTTTTTCATGAAGTTACAGATTAAGATTAAAGCATTTTTACCGTATATAAACATAAACAGGGATTTGTCAAGACATCATCCAAAGGGAAAGTGACAACGGATCAAGCGTAGATTTAAAAAAAAAATCAATTTATAAATATAAACAAAAATAAAAAAAGACTATAGTTTCCTTTTTTTTTTTTTTTTTTTTTTTTTGGTCCGACACAATTCCTCAAATCAATTTAACTTTTTAGGATGAATATTCTTAAGGCAATAAGGGTTCATAAGAATTTCAGACGATAGTAGAAATACATAGTCGTTTTAAAAGATTACTCGATGAAGTTGAACTACGTTTCAGGTTCAATACTCTTCTCCATTTATGTTTAAGGGAATCTAATGTTTACTCTAATTATTTAATTAATGTAGTTTCACTTACTTAATCACACCGACAAAATCATTTTTCATAGGCTGAAATTTAAACCCTTTTGTTTTTTATATATTTAAAAAATATATATATTAAAATTAATGTTTAAACATATTTCCTTTTGTAATGTTTTTACAAACACTAAGATATTGCTTTTATATTTCTTTTAAAAAATAATAGTAGCTTGAAAGCCGGAGTAAGATGAAAAAGCAATTTTACTGATTCGTTTTCTTTGTTCCTCTAGGTTTTATACTCTCCGAGATCTGCCACATGGCTTCTTCGCATAAAAAGTCGTCAAAGTTGCTGAAGAATGCAATGATTCTTTCGTTTTTCTTAAACGTGTAAGTGCTAAACAATAAAAACAAGTATAAATACAACTTATAAACAAATTACCTGGAATTGTAATGAAAGTGCAAACCCTTTTTTGAATCTCTTCATGTTTTCGACAATATTGAACTGCTGCCACCTCTTTGAAAAGTTGATGACGCCGTCTGAAAGGTAATCGCTGTTGCCGATGTGGACGAACGTTAAGTCCTGGAGTACTAAACCTCTGAAAATATAAAAATTCAAATAAAACACCGAGTTTGAAAATTGTGTAAAAATGTACTGACATGTATGGTATGCAAGGGGGCTGTGTTTCAGCCAGGGCTTGTCTGTAAGCTCTGAAACTCGAGGAGCTGTCAATCAGTGCGCAATATTCCTTCAGCCCTTCTGTGATATGTTTCTGCCATTCCAGCCGGCGTATCGGAGCCGAATCGAGCGCCGATAGGAGAGCGAGATACGAGTTGAAATTGTTGATTTTGCGCAAGTGTTTCATTATTTTAATAAACTTGACGACATACTTTTCCCTGTCCTTGGCTTCGTTCTGCTCCAGTATCCTCGACCTCGCCCTGTGAATACTCACGATTAATATTATCACTTTTTGCCATTTCTGTCTGTACTCACCAATAAGACATTTTGTTAAAGTGTTCGGTAAAACGTGTCAAATTTGGGCTACGCTCTTCATTCTGCTCCTGCGCCCAGATGAGAACTTCAGGGATCTCAATTTTCATAAAAAGCTCCGAGTCTAGGAGTGTCATTTGCTCTGCTACATGATCGGATTTAAAATCGACCAATGTGGATTGTCTAAAATAAGTAAATCAAAGTGGTTTAAAATAAAATTTTATAAAATCAGAGCTAAACAAGAAACAAGATCCTCCTATTTCAAAATTAATTTACTTTATAGTGCTTACTTTTAAATATATTTTTTTGTTTAAAGGTAAATACATAAAATCAAGCCAACTATAGCCTCATGATTTATTTCTAAGCTAAACTAACTTAAGATTTAAACTTTTGCATACAATCCCACTCACTCAGTAGAGTGTTAGAGTGCTGTATACAGGAAAAGACAGAGTAAGTAGACTGACGATGTAGAAACCCAGAAAAGTGGAAAAGTCAACTAAACTTCCTACAAAGAAGGGTAAAATGAGACAAACACAAATTTAAAATCTTAAAGGAAAGAACAAAGTCAATATAGAGAATTGTAGGCCTATTAGTCTTAACGCACCACTCAATTTATTTATTTATTTAGTTTGAAATTAAATACATTATTCCAGGCTTTTATCACAGCTTAAAAAAAGGAAAAAATGGGGGCATAGGCTTGGGGGAATATGTGAATTGGACATTGAAAGATTGGGGACGAGTCCTCTTTACAGATGAGGTGAGAGTTGATGTCAAAACTTCAAATTGGCTTAATTTAATGGAGAAGCTCAGGAGAAAGGTACGCTGGATACTGTATGGTTCCTCAGATGCCATACCACAGTGATTGATGGCTTTTCTTTGGACCAAATTGGTTGTTGTGCGAGATCTCTAACTTCACAGAGGTACTTACGAGACATAATTGAAGAACATGTAGTGTTATTTGTCCCCCCCACATCAGTGAGAGATTCTTGGAAATGCAGGATAATGCCAGGCCCCATAGAGCACACTGGAAGACTACCTGAATGAGGATGAAATTGAGTGTTTGGTGTGGCCAGCACAAAGTCCAGATTTAAACTCAATTTGAGGCCAACTTAAGCAACAAGTACGACGTCAAAACCCAGGTCCTAATACCCTGGAAGTATTGGAAACGGCTGTTTTGATGAATGGGAAAGGATTCCTCAGAATTTTACCAGAAATCTTTATCAAGCAAAGGCGTTCAACGGAATGATTCTAGAATGGAAACACTGTTTTAAAAGAAACAAAAAGGTCAAACAATATATAAAAAACTTCCGTATGCAAACAATATTACCTAACTTTCAGTTCGGGTTTAAGTCCAGCCAATCAACAACCCACCGAGTATACAGACTCAGTGAGAAATAGTACACGGATTTAAAAAAAGGATTACATGATAGCAGCCTTCCATGATTTATATCAGGCCTTTGATCTTGTCTGGACACCGGTTTATTGTACAAATTAAAACATGTGGGAATCCTAATCAATCATTCATGAAAGACAGAAAATTTCGAATCAAGATAAACCAACATTTTTCAGAGCTTAAAAACATAAAGGATGGTGCTACCCCATCTGATTCAACATATTAACTACATCCCATCGAATCATAATGCAAATATAGCTATATACGCGGATGACACATGTACTCATAGGAATGCCTACGCTCGAAATAAACTGTAAAATGCAATAAACCAGATAGCAGAATACTGCGAAAAATGTTAAATTAAAATCAACTCCGCAACCTCCCTTCTTCAACTTAACTGCATGTTGACAAATCTCCCATTCTATCAACCTAAGGATGGTGCTGTAAGATATTTGGGAAATCCACATGGACTGGTGACTCAATTAGAAGAACCACCAAGCTCAAAGGGTACAAGTGACTAGTATGTTATACCATTGAAAAATAAAAAATATTAAATTAATTGAAATTTATCCAAGTGTTCCTTAATTAAAGATGATTTTTTAAACAAACCTTGTATAGATGTTCTGTGATGGCAGTAAATTATTGATGGAATAATAAAGTATCTTATTATTATACTTTTCAATAATGATCACCCGGAGGACTTTGGCCATGGTCAGGTCCCCGCTGCAGAGCAGCTGGTAGACAAACTCCATCAATGCTTTCAAAACGGCCTCTTCCAAATCAGAAACACTGAAAATGTCAGTAAAAATAATATTTATACCTCTTACAAACTACCATCAATAATATAAACTGTTTGACTTAAATACACTATATGATAGAAGTTAAAAAACTAGATTTATTATATTAATCCATACATGTTTAGCGGTCATAATTGGCATATTATTTCAATTAATTATCCTTTTTCATTAAGGTCTTGGTTGAGACGAAAAAGTAGTCAAGAGCGGGATTTGAACCTACGCCCTTGGAGTCCGAGTGGATCGAAGTGATGATAGCTCAAAGCAGGTTAAAGTAGCGGCATATTAAACCGAAGGTCATGGGTTCAAATCCCACTTGTGAGGCTGACTTTTTGTCTCAACCAAGATCGAAAAAGAATAATTAATTGAAATAATTAATATGGTCAATTATGTCTGCTAAACATGTATGGATTAATATAATAATTAAAATCTTTCAATTAATTAAGGTTTTTAGTTGAGATAAAACAGCCAGTCACGAGCGGGATTCGAACCCACGATCTTCGGCTAGATACGCAGCTACTCCACCACTTGAGCTATCTTGACTTCGATCCACTTGGACACCAACTTCCCATCTCAACCCCACCTTTTGAATTTTCCACCCCTTTTGCCATTTTTCAAATGTCATGTAAATGAAATGGCCACGGAGAGCTTTAGTGAAGATATACTTCATTTTTACATATTAAATTCACTAATTTTTGTGGTCTGCTTGACCAATTAATATCTTTGAATTAATTAAGATTTTTAGTTGAGATAAAAAAAGTCAGTGTCACGAGTGGGATTCGAACCCACGACCTTCGGCTAGATACGCCGCTGCTCTACCACTTGAGCTATTGTGACCTCGATCCACTCGGATGCCAACTTCCCATCTCAACCCCACCTTTTAAATTTTCCCTACTTTTTGCCATTTTTCATTTTTTATCTCAACTAAAAACCTTAATTAATTGAAAGATATTAATTGGTCAAGCGGACCACGAAAACTAGTGAATGTAATAATTAAAGAGGTAATCACTTTGCTAACAGCTCCCTGTGGCCACTTCAAACTCGCTGAGAATTCTGATTATACGACATTTGAAAAATGGCAAAAAGAGGAAAAATTTGAAAGGTTGTAGGTTGAGACGAGGAGCTGGTGTTCGAATATGCAGTGTTAATGATTTCAAATAGGAAAACAAAATTCAATATTTTTAAGAAGATCGAACAAAACTCTCACTCCACCATTTATCATTTCTATTAACAAAATTCAATCTTTCTTCTTCTGTTTTGTTGTACTTCATATTGGACAGTTTATTCAATTTCAACTCTCAAGAAGGATAACATAAATTATATGAGCATTTCATAGTCTTCGCAATTTTAGACCAGCTGCATCGTTCCTTGTATAAATCACTATTTTTGCATTTTACAAACAAAAATTAATATGAAATTAATTGAATTTAATGAGTCTTGAATTTAATCATCTTGATACACTATATGTTGTACAAATTCTTTGTATGCCAGTGATTTATCCATTACGGTGGCAGATGATCAGATGAGCTTTTTTTCCTCAGCACAGTAAGGAAACCCTGCTCTGAGGAGTTTAATTTATATCTCCCCCCTAAATAACTACAGATTTCTCTATACAATATTAACAGTTTTAACATAAAATATTATTACGCACAATATTTGCAATGGAAATGATAGAGGTTTAAGTTCAGTGAATTAGTGAGTTAAGTGAAGTTAGTTATTACATTTTTGTTTTTTTGTATTTATAATTTTTCAAAATCTACTGTGACAGTGAAATTGCTGAAGATCGTACGGTGATTTTGTACTAGGTACTTGCTGTTGACCAGGCATCTCCTTGTCGTTTGATGACTCTTTTCATTTTCAGTTTCTTGGCTTCAAAATGTGCATCTGTATATTATGTGCTTTCAAGTTTGTAATTGCATAGATATGTATCATCTATGATGTGGGATTACTTTAGATATGACCAGTGCTTTCCATGACCAGTCAGCAATTATTTTCTATGTGATGTGACGCATATATTAATTTTAAGGCACAATTTCATTGTGGAGAAAATATTCATTGGGTATTTTTCATCCACATGATCTCCCATCTGCTATGCTCTGGCATCACAGTTCTGACTTCAGGTATGATCATGACATCTAGCAAAATATCGGAAGCCACCACCTTTGCACATTTGTCGTCTTTCTCATTTCCTTCCAGGCCCAAGTACTCTGACCCATTCCAGCCCTATTTTTTCCTTCTTCTGCAGTTTTAAAGTAGGAATCGTATTTCCTCGATTAGTGGCTTATGGATAGTAGGATTGTCTATCATATCAAGAGTAATTTGGCTATCCGTGTAGATGGTTGTTGCTCTGCACTCCCCAGTTCCTATTGTTCCTGGGAGACGTATTTCATTGCTTGCAAAATAGCGAAAGCCTCAGATTGGTCTTTCGGGCAATGTTTCGCTAGCCCAAATTTCTTCTGAAAGATAGGGTTCAGTCTATATATCACAATTGCGGCCCCACCATGTCATCATGTTGACTACCATCTGTAAAAATCCTGTAGTAGGGTGTTACTCTTATGGGTAATACTGCTTTTATTTTCTTAGGCAGATGCTATTCATTAGGTTTCAATGGGAGGTCCATTTCTGTCAGTCTTTTGTGTTCAGATATTTCAACAGTTTCTTTTATTTTCATTTCAATTGGTAACCTGTCACGACACATGGTGCATGGAATAAGATAGTATTCATTATTCTGAGTAATATTTTCCTTTGGACACTTTTTAAAGACTTTACATCAGCCTTTTTTTCTAGCTTTGGTCCAAATTGGTGCTGCGAATGTGACAAATTATCTAAAGCAGTGGTTCCCAAAGTGGTCCCTACGGACTCCCAGGGGTCCCCGGTATCATTCAGGGGACGAAACAAATTTGAAACTACAAGGTGACCAATTAAATTTAATCAAAACTAAAAGCGTAATATCTGTGTTTGTTGCAAAACTTTTTCTTTACAAACAAAACTTGGGAAGAGGAGAATGCTTTCAGTTTCCAAATCTTTCGAAATTGCAAATCAGAGATGAAGATTTGCTTGCTTACTGTCAGCACTTAACAGCTCTTCATACAGACCTGAACCAAAGAGTTGAAGACATTTTTCACTTGGATATTCCCGCTTAAACCCTTTTGCACGTGGACAAACTCAGATCCAAAGCACAGATGAATCCATACTAATACAGGAGCAGCTTATTGAAATATACACAAATGAGGAACTGAAACCAATGTTAGAACAAGGATATCACAAATTCTGGTTACAAAAATAGATCCCAATATCCTGCATTAACGGTTATTGTACAGAAGTTGTTGACTGCTTTACTCTCTTTCTATTTGGTAGAACGTGGATTCAGTGCTGTTATGAACCTCATCACAAAGGAAAGAAACCGATTAGAAATTATACACTTATAACATCTCATTACGTTCATCCAAGCCATTAATTTTTTTATATTTTATTTTAAACAAAAGTAATTACTATTATAATTTATATATATATTTATAATTTCAAAAATACTTTTTTAACAAAACTTTTTTTTTTTAATTTGTAATTTTTATATTATGCATATATGTGGCTTTTTCACTTGGGTGTTGTGGGCAATTTTTGAATATAAAAAGGGTCAAAAAAGTTTGGGAACCACTGATCTAAAGTATCTAGATACTTTAGATTTTTAACCCTTCTGGTAGCTTGCCCGACAGATATACCATGATATTCTAGGTGTAGTACTTTGAGGACTACATTGGCCGAATGGTCAGCATGAAAACTCTTGTCTCAAGACCCTGTGGTCTTGGTTCAATTCCCACTGTCGCCTCGGGCCTCTTTTATAAACTTGTAAACACCGTATATATAAAATTTATTTTATACAGTAAATATAAAATGTATGTAATGTATTTAAATTAATAAATATAATATGAAATGTAAATGAACTCACGTCAGATCTGACACTACCCTGACAAGAAGTGAGAAAGCTTCTCGTGCTGCTCTCTGCTTCCCAGGATCTTGGTTCCCACTGAATCTCCTTTGCCGCAGGCACAGTTTCTCTATCAGTTCTAAAGGTGATAGGAAAGTTCTGTACGTTGTTAAAAATGCTTCTTGATAGAGAAAATCTACAGAGAAAGAAATTTGGTTATACAACGTACAGATTTATTTTCAATTTATTTGTATATTTTTTTACCTGGCTCTTTTTCTTCTGTTAGGACAAGTCGAACGAAAACGAAAACGAAACAAAACAATTAAAGACAGGACATTAAAGATAGAGAAAAAATTCATTTACCATTTTTACAAGCTTTTGTTGCATGTATTATGAGGGCATCAGGAGGCCCGCCACGTATTGCCGGACCTTCTTCTTCTGGGCGCATCAAAACGAGGTGTTTGCTGACGTCAAGTTCAAATAGAAAATTTGTCTCAGGGCTCGCTGCGGGAATCCTCGAGCCACCATTGGCAACCACCGTTTGTGTTTCTTCGATCGGTTTACTACAAGAAAAATGACAGTTTATACTTGATATGCAGCTTGACATTAATCTACAGGAGTAAAAAAATTGTGAAATGTTGAAACTTCAGGCAGATTGGGACGATAAGAGTTGATTAAATTTTTATTCAAATCCTTACACAGGGGTCGGAGAAGGAGGTGGAGTCATCTGCGGCAAGGGCTCTGGAGGAGGTGGAGTCACTGCAGATTTTATACCTCCTCTCTTGGGCGGCAGCGCTGGGGGTAGCCCAGGGCTTACATTACCACTGTTCCTTTCACTCATCGGCTCGTCTAAAGTCTCATGATTGCTGTACCAAAAGTTCAGATTTAATAGGTACATTTTTAACTTTTACACCACGCTCACGTTACCTGTTGCTTGAAGTGAACGTATGGCTGGTGAACGAACAAGACTGCGTCGAAGTTATCGAAGCTTGGTGTTGCTGTTGCCACTGGAGCAGGCTGTACGTGTGGACAGAATGTCTGAGTAAATCCGAAGCACTCGGTTGAGAACAGTTTCCAAACATCTCCATGTAAGCCATTACTAAATTGTAAAAAAAACAAAACAACAAAAATATACGTATTAAACATGTAAACATAGAATACACAAACCTTTGAGTTAGTATGTAATTAACAGAATAATATACAGTGTAAAATAATAATTACAAATATATTACACAAAATTTACAAAATATAAACAAATAAATTTACAATATGTATAGTGTATCACTTATTTACTTATTACTTACTTAATATATGCATGTGCAAAACATATATTAAGACAAGTTGTTTGTTAAAAGTTTTCATACATAATCAATTACTTTAACAAATTAAAGCAACCCTTGAATTTAGCAAAATGTGTGAAATGAAATGACAAAATATCACTAAATTGGCACTGATGGATTACGTGAATCAGGTTATTTCAGATCGCAAATGATAAAATGGGTCATTCATTTATACAGGTGTTGTTTTTTGTTTGTTCCCAAAATGCATTTAAGTTAATACTTCATATTTCTGTAAGCTTAATTTGTTTCCAATAGCACTAAACAGCAATAAATATAGTAGTAGATTTAAAAAATAAAATAAAAAATGTATGTTGATTAGACAACTAATAAAAATTTAAATAAGCATTAAAGAAGACGTGGAATTACAGATTGCCATTTCAGGTAGAGCATCAGAATTCTTAGATTATTTCTTTCTTCAAGCAAGACGGGATGTTGATTGTAATAGGGAGTCGCAACAAGTGAAGATACAAAGTTGACGTCAACTATATCAAAATATCTGCTAGAGGTGTAAGCTGTTAAGGACGATTAGCTTTGATTGGCAATGGAGTGGGAGTGATGATGAGTACCAATTGTAGATTTTAAGCTTTGGACATTTAGTCTGCAAGTTGTGTAATACTGTCGACATGTCGCATGAAGAAATAGAAGATATCCTGGTGTTACCATTGAAAATAAATTGAATGCTCCATAGCCCATGAAACGGTAAATGTAACAGTGCAATTATAAAATATTAAAATATTTGTGTTTCGTATCTATTTCTTTGATAACTAAAACACTAGGCAGATAGTGAAAAATATATAAAACTATAAATATAAAGTGGGTGGTTTATGGGCAGACAAACAGCTGAGATCATCTGCGAGTTTTCCTTCTTTTTCTGGCCTTTCAACATATTTTGGTGTAAGCTGCAGCAATCTGAGTATCTCGATCTGGTTTCTGACTGCTTTTATATGTATACTATGTCTAAAATGCTCGCCTCTCATGTGTACTTTAGGTTGTCCCTACAAACATTGAAGTCTGGTCACACTCACTCCCCCAAAGTTCTCGATAATCATCGGGGTTATCAGTGACCCCTTCCTTTCACACTAATAAATTACATTCATTCCTATAAATTAACTTACACTTGATATAAACAAAGAAGTTTGGTCATGTTTACCCCCCCCCCCCCAGAGTACTCAACAATTATTTACTCTCCAGACGTCACACACTCACCCCACACTACTCGATATTCCTCGGGGCAGGGTTGAACCAACTCCATTCTCGCTTAATAACTTACTTTTACTGCCCAGACGTCACACACCCACCCCACACTACTCGATATTCCTCGGGGCAGGGTTGAACCCACTCCATTCTCGCTTAATAACTTATTTTCACTGTCCAGACGTCACACACTCACCCCAGAGTACTCGATATTCCTCAGAGCGGGGTTAAACACCTTCCTTTTACGCTAATAAATTACATTCATTGCCTACAATAAATTAACATAAACACAACACGTGATACAAACATAGAAGTCTGGTCACATTCACTCCAGGATAAGAAGTTAATAATAAAAAATGTTTCTTAATTTAAAAAAAGAAAGATTTGAAAGGTGTAACTGAAAAGGCTAGGAAAGAAGAAAATTATTGAAATCTAAAGATGGGACTGGTTACAACAAATTATTGGAAATATAATTAATTTAACAAAAAAGACATTGTGACTTTGGTGCGATAGCTCAAGGGGTTAGAGCAGCAGTGTATTAAGACGAAGGTCACGGGTTTGAATCCGTCTGTGGCAACTAATCTTTTCATCTCAACCACACATAAAATTATAATTCATTAAAAAAAGAAACAAAAAATAAATAAAAGAAACAAATATTAGTAATTATATTTACTATTTTTCGTGATTCGCTTGATCAATTAATAACATTCAATTAATTAAGGTTTTAAGTTGAGATAAAAAAGTCAGTGTCACAAGCGGGATTCGAACCCACGACCTTCGGCTTGGTACTCCACTACTCTACCACTTGAGCTATCGTGACTTCGATCCCCTCAGGCACTAACTTCCCATCTCAACCTCACCTTTTGAATTTTCCCTCCTTTTTGCCATTTTTCAAATGTCGTGTAATCGGATTGGATTCTCGGCGACAAATGAAATGGCGACGGAGTTCGAATCCCGCTCCTGACACTGTCTTTTTTATCTCAACTTAAAACCTTAATTAATTTATTAGTAATTATTTTTCCTATGTTTATTATTTATATAACAATAATTATGTTAACCATATGTACCAATATTTTAAAATTGTATTTGATCAATTTATTCCTATTTATCATTATCATTTATGTGTCCTATTCTAATTCTTAAATACATATGAAAAATTAGTCTCACGAGCAGGACTCGAACCCACAACCTCCAAATAGTACCTACCGACTAATCATTTCACACAACTTTTTTTTTGTATTTCCCTCTTTTTTTCTTTCCAATATTCAAATATGTAATTCCTCATGACACTAATTTTTAAACTCGACCATATTTAGTATAAAACATAATAAAACAATATATCAAATACTGCTTGTATTCAAGTGTTGCTTTGCACTAACAGAAACATACATGCTGTGGGACGGAAGAATAACATAAAAAGTACAGATTTTTCTAAAGTGTTCCAAAACTATGGAATACGCTATTCTATGTACCAATAGGGAGGGAGGGGGTGATAACTGGAAAACGAATGAATGAAATGGCATGTATTTCGGATATGGTTTGTTGAGAGAAGATCTGAAAAGACGAGAGTGACAAGAGAAATGCTGACATGTCCAGACGTTATTGATATGATGTTTTGATGATGGTTTACATGCGCTAAGCATACTGCTATGAAGTAAATAAAAAGTTATAACATTTTTCTTACCAGAATAGGCCACTGATTGGAATACTGGCAGACAAGAATATATGTTAGCTCTCATCTCAATTACAAATTTGGCCTTAAATATTTAATTTAGTTTTCCTATTGAAAATTCTCTTAAAATGTTCAAAATAATTTTTCATCTTTACTCTTACATTTTATAAAAACAATTGATAAAGACTTAAATTAATACATTTTCTCATGGACTTGCATAAAATAATTGATTATAATTGGAGCCCCATGGAGTTCTATACAATATGGAATCTTACTTTTGTTTAATAAATTAAATTTACAACTCAATCCCACTTAAATGCTATTCGAAGAATCCACCTTTTTACCCACTTTAAATATTATTAATAAATAAACAGTCGCAATTAAATAATCATGAATTACACCATGAATCATCAGTGATGAGCGCATATTTCCAAGTAGGTGAATTTAATAGCAATTTATAATCAGTTTTAATATTTAATTGAATGATGACCTTGACTTAATAATACATTTTATAAAATGCTGAGGAAATCGAAGAACAGAATTAAATAAAAACAAGATCAATACTGATCATCTTGAATCAATACGGCCAATGTTTGAAGAGAATATTATCCTTTTATAATAAACTTGATTATTTTCTTTCTATTGACTTTAAATGCTAGGCCGGAATGGCTAGAGGCAAAACAATGACAGAAAGCCTTTATGGATGTAAAAATAAAACACAAAAGCCACGAACAAATGAACTGAGCGGCTGGCAGCTATCGATATTTAATCTTACCTTAATGACTAGAAAAGTATAAAATATTACTCACTGTGCTTTTTCTTGGGAGGAAGCGGAGGAGGCTTTTCGAGTGTCGGGCTTGTAGATGTCGGCACGTTATCGTACTGTGACGGCTGGCGCTCGCGCCTCGAACGTTTCTTTTCAGGCAGAGGAGGGATCTGCTCCGTGACGGAAGAGCCCCTCCTTTCTACCTGCTGGTGGGCGACCAACGAAGTGACGCTCGTCTCCGAAGAAGAAGCAAAAGTGGTCGTAGACGAAGAGGACGACTTGTGGGTCGTGATTCGCCTCTCTTCCGCCACTGATGAAGACGAAGACGTTAACGTCGATGAGTGGCCAAAGTTGAAACTCTGGTTTGACGCGTGCTGTTGGAACATCATACCTGACGTCCTTTCTAACGTTGTATTTAAAGCGCCTAAAAATTGAAATTTTAATTAAAACGGAGAAAAACAACAACAAATAGTTTATAAATTATCAACCTAAAACATTATTAAAGCCCATTGGTGGATCGGGTGATTCCGTGAGGTGAGTGTGGTCCGAAGTGTTACTACAGGAACTGTCCCAGCAGCAAGAACTGGTCTGGCTTCCGTTGACGATCGAGCTGTTCAGACCAGGAAAGTCTAACCACAAAAAGGGAATCGTGGTAAATTCATCGTCAAAATACATTTTCTGCTATGTTGAAAAATTCTACGTAAAAAGGCAGTTTGACGTAAAATTAGACAGGTTCAGATTAAAATATATATATACACACCTCATGTTATAATTAGATTAGTTCCCTCCTACTTATGTATGTTATATTTAAATATAACTATTCAGTATACACATCAGCTAAACATATTTTTAAAACTTTTGTTGGAATTTTTTTCCTAATTTGTTATTTTTTAAACAACTTTTCCTATCCTTTTATTTCATTTTCCATAAGACTAAATAATAATATTTTACAAAATAACATTTAAGATTGCACAAAAATGTTATTGGAAAAAAATCACACTGCAATTCAAAGTGAATTAAATAAAATATTTATATAAAAAAGGACTAAATTTTTTTTTTACTCTTTAAAGTGTTAATTTCTTTGAATGATGAAAACTTCTGCCGTGTTTTTTAATCACCACTAACAGCCTTTTGGAAATGCCTTTTATCAAAGTGCTCTCTGGTATGTTTTCCCAAGCTTGAGTGATCTTTTTTTTTAAATTTTTTTTTACGAGGGTTCGCAACAGCAGAGGTCATATCAACCCTCAGGGTGCCGGTGTTTTTGAAAAAAAGCCCATTTGTAAGTATGTCGGGTTCGAATGCAGGGCCGCTGGATTCGAACCCGGGACCTTTACCTTCAGTGATGAGCGCCATGTCAAAGACTAAACCTTGCGGCCACCGATGCCCCCCCCCCCCTCTTGATCTCTTCTTTAAATACTGATATTTTGGATTTTTGGCTTTTCAAGGTCATAGACATCCCTAGCCAAGATTCCCATAAATTTTCTTTGGAGTTAAGCTCTGGGCTAAGTGCTGGCTATTCCAAAAGATTGAGCATAATCCTTAATCCTTCAACCATTGGCATGTTTTCTTGTTAAAAAATTGACTCTTCTTCTTCCACCAATGTAATAAATGCCAAGAGAGTTTCTTCTTACGCTTGTTGATATTTAACATCATTCATTTTGCCAGGAATAAATGTCATTTGAGACACCCATTTTACTGAAAGCAGCCCATAATACCATTACACCGCGACCCCATGCGACCTTCTGGACAAAATTTTTTTCCTTTTTAAGTTGTGCTAATAATCAAGTTTGAACTTTTTTTCATCACTAAAATAAACCTGGGCCAAATTTGGCTTTCGTGAATATGTTTTTCAGCAATCGCTGCTTAATATGATGTTTATTTAGGTTTGATTTTCTCTCAATATTTAAAATACCTAGTTTCAGTGGCCCACTTCCTTACTAGGCTGGGATTGCTAGGTAATAGATTGCAAGCTCACAATTTGAGCTGAATAAGCACCAGTTTTGGCTATTTTCCTCCAAACTGCACGTTTTACATGACCAGAAAATTTTGGAAGTTTTCTAGTTCATTTAATTTTGTACATAATTTTCCGGACCTGAATTTAAGAAATTTTTAACAATTTTTAACTCATGAGCAATTTGCCTTAGTGTCATCTCTGCTCTTTTTAAGTTGAGTATTTGATCTTGCTCAATTTCACTCAATTGGGTCCCACACGTCATTATTTTGAGAAAAACAAAAAACAAAATGAGCACTGTTTCTTTTATATGAAAGGTAAACTGAAATATTATTCTTGAATAAATATGAATATTAATTGAATATAAATATTAATTAGTACTTTGAGTTTAAAATTATTCACAAACTAAACGAGGGTTATTTGTAAACATTGAGTTTGATAACGAACTAGAAAAAGCATGGGAAAGGAATTAATCTCTTAAGGCATTATCATTCAAAGTTAAAAAATAGTTTTGGCTTCATAATTGTCATTAATTTAGAAATGGAATAAAATTAAATTATTGATTATTTGAGATCGTGAGATGCGGTCTGGTGTGATGTAGGTTTTAGAAAAACATAATAGTTTCGATCTTTATTGAGATCGTCTTCGGGCTCAAAAGTGTTTGTTTTCTGTGTAGATGTGTCATTATTGTGTGTGTTGAGAATGTATCTCACGGTCTCCAATTAATCATTAACTAACGGACACTAAACACCACACATTAAATGACTGAGTTCATATTTTTTCACAGGACGGTACATGTATTATTTTGGGAAGGAAGGGGTGCATGAAAAAAAAAAAGTCAAAAAATTGAGAACCCAGGGGTCTGTGAGCTGAAAGTCTATCACACTCCCCTACACGGTAAGTTAGTATAAATGAAAACACATCTAAAATGAAGAAATAGTCTGTTTTCATTTTTTAATTTAAACACGGTTAACATGGTAAATTATGACAAATTGTTCACACCTTAAATGAAATATTTTATATCATAAATAGCTATTTCATTTATCAAACAAATCTAATATGAATGAATCTCGCTGAACTCATCAATCATCAAGTATCATCTTGGAAAATCTAAATGGAAAAGGAGAGGGGAAAAGATGGTGGTTTTGTATATATTTTTTTTTTTTTAAACTAATGGATTTATATGCGATTACAATCGGTGGAGTGTGAGTAAATAACAGAAAAGATATTTGATTTTGTGTATCTGAAATATCAAAAATTATTAAATAAATACATAGAAGAAATTACCATGGTGTAGAAGAGATGTATCTGGAAGAGTCATAGAATTATCCTCATCCATGATGGCACGGAGTTCCTCTTCATCCTTGCTCGATGTGTTTAACATGGAATCAAGACTGCCAAGAGATGAATTATCGCTTCTTATAGAAAGTCGTTCCATCGACTGTGAAGGTAACCCTCCCGAAGCTTTTTTCTTTGGAGGAAGCGGTGGAGGAGGAGAACCACCAACCCAGACTTTCCTGTAATACAAGAAAACAATAAAAATACCGATATAATATTGTGGATATAAACTAGAATTACGTTGTAGGTAATGGGGGTTTAGGTGGAGCGGTGACGATGCTCTCTGAGCTGTACCCCTGCGCTCTCGATTCGAGTGACTCCCTTTCGCGTGATGTCAACGGAATGTCCGGCAAGGAGTTCCTCAGTGGCGGGTCAACTGCATGGTGGAAGACACCTCCTTTGTGCAGCGCCGTGCCATGGTCCAGTATTTTTTCACTACCAACTTTATTGTGGTCGGCAATCTTTGCTCTCACCAATGTCACCAAGTTCTGTACTGCTTCATCAACCTGCTGCAACACTTCAGTCACATTTTGCTTGTTGAGTCCCTTTTCGCCTCCGATGAGTACATCGTCACACAGCTTTATGAGAACTGTGATGCTTTGATACACTTGATTTGTAGCAGACATAAGTGCAGTGCTAAACATTAAGAAAACCTAATTAATACTATAACATTTTTAAACTTCATTTTAAAACACAAAAATAAATATCAAGTTATATGTATATTTTACGCAAGGCAAATTTTGAACAAAAACAACGATCAATTTTTTCAATACCTTTGGTCAATAAATACATAAGTCTTGAGTACACCTTGTATTGTTGCGACACTTTCCAAAACGATAGTTCCGTTTCCAGGGAGAACTTCCAGTTTATTTTTTGAAACGACATCATTGAAATGTTTTAAAGCCAGTTGTACCTATTTCAATAAAAGAAATAAATATAAAGCTAGTTTAAGGCAATACAAACAATCTTGAATTACTTGTTTAACATGTTGATCAAGATCGGCTAGTGGATTTCGTTCTTCAGTCGGTGGGACATCACTTGAGCTTGACGTCCTGGGCTTCGGCGAACGGGGCGGCCTGGGCGATCCTGTTCCATTGCTACCTCCGCTCCCTCCACTAGATGTTCTCATTTGAGATATGATGTCGAGGAAATCCTCCTTAAAAGACCTGGCACGTCTTGCAAGCTTGTTTCCGCCCCTTCCGCTGTTCCCTCCTTCGTCTGAAATTTCATTTATGTGATGAAGAATTGACAATTATTTTGATAATCAAGTCAAAGTAGTTTTAATTTAAATGTATAACATTTTCTGATTAAATGTCAAATTTGAAGATGTAGATGTATTAGTTGGGGTGTGTAATATACTGCGCCCTTTAAGAGCTATCCCCCCATTCTGTGCCTTTAGCACACTGATGAGTCCTAATTCGTCGAGAAATTTGATTAGTAGGCCCGGTTTCAGTGGTTGAATTTCTTCTACGGTCACATTGTACGTACCAAGGCACTTCCTCCTGCGGGCAAGTGTAGTGCCACTATTTTTTAATGGGTGTGTTGGTGACTCCTCTGCTTCTTTGCAGAATCTGCATGTACTGTCTTGGGTTATGATCATCTTCTTTAAATGTCCGTTTAGTTTGCAGTGTCCTGTTAAGAATCCTATCAGGATTCACAGTTTTTTCCTGCTTCCTTTGATACATTCTATTACTTCTTTCTTTCCGAAATTTGTTAGGAGGTTCTTTGATTGTTTGTGTCCAATGATTGAGTTCCATTGTTCCTTCATTTTCTTTTTAACCTTCTTTCTGAGGTACTCTTTGGTAGTGTGGTATCCTACGCCACTGAAGGGTTCGGGTCCTATCAGCAGTATAGCAGTCCCTTTTCTTGCAAGGATGTCCACTTTCTCAGTGTCTTCTAGACCACATGTCCTGGGACCCAGCAGAGGTTGACTTTGTTCTGCATACCTAATATGTTTAATTTGGTTTTACAGTTCAACACCTTTGAACTAAGGATGTTTGAACTTAGTGCTTTAATAGCTGCTTGGCTACCTGACATGATAGCTATGTTCTTGTTTTTGTACTCTTTATTCAAGTTGAATTGAGTTCATCTCTCGACTGCATAGACACAGCTTGGAAGACACTGATGCATTTTACCATCGGTTCGAGAACCCCTGTACCTTATTGCGTTCTTGATCATCTGTGTACCAATGGATGGTGCTGTTCTTAAAGGAGGTGTTTTCCTCTTGTTCCCATTCTTTTTTGGAACCTAAGTTTATTTGGAAGTTTTGATTAAATTCAAACATCCTGTTCATGTCGCCTCTTGGAGCCATGAGTATTGGATGGTCATTCATTATGTAATGTCAAACTTATGTTATTATCGATCAATAGATTAGGAGATTATACAATATTTTTTATTTTCATTAGGTATGGTGCATCACTGATGGTCATGAGATTTGCTAAATTGCATAATTGCATGGCTATAATAATTGTGAACGAGACCAAGGTACAAACAATGAATGCATAGAAGTTATGACCCTGAAATAGTGAGAACGTCGTTTGAATAGTTTCAATATATCACTGATTTTTAGAATATCTTATCACTGGTAATTTTTCAAATTTTTTGGGAGGAAAAATACCAACAGAGTCTGCATGTTTTCATACCAAAGAAGATGACTTCTTGGGCATCACCCCAAGTTTGATTCTAAACAAATTGGTTCTAATGATGACATCACGGCGTATTGTATGGACGAAGCTTAGCCGCCGATTATTAAGTTATATTAAAAAAAAGTCCTTTAAACATGTCTAAGCTAAACAACAAAATTAAATTTCCCATCGTACAATGAGGATGTCATCCTATAGAAGTCCTCAAGGATCTTGTGGCTCCGGATGTTGGTCAAGTGCGAACGATTAAGTTTTCGTATTTCCTAAGTGGGGAATAATTTCTTGATGTCCTTCTCATTGTATAAAATTCTTATTAGAATGAATCGGCAATAAGAGATGGTGATTAGTATTCTAGTAGTATTTTAAGATCAAGTGGGAAAACCTAATTGCTTTTAGAAGAGAAGAATCGAAGGTTACGCATATATTTAAACGAAGAGAAAGTATACAAGTCAAAATATAATTAATCTATCGACTAGTGGCATCGTCATCTATTATTGGATGTCAACATTTATTTATTAGGGGATGTGACGCTACAGGGATTATTTACGACGGGACGTCACACAGAGCTACTGAGCTTTGCAAGCTGCGCGGTTTAGGTCGTAACGACTTGTTATATAAGGACCGTTGATAAAAATTCATAAACTCTCAGCATTTAACTAAATCTCTCGCAGAGTTAAAAGAAAACCATGTAGAAATACAGCGCTTTGTGTTGTCTCGTTGAACCTGAAAAGTCAGGAATCTATAAAGGATCGGAAGAACCACGAGTTTATAGATAAATATTTAACATTACGGAACGCAAGTAGCACGTTATGAAATTGATTATACTGCCAGTTCATGATCTTAGTCACCCGGCTGACTCACTAGATATAATATTAGAACTATTTCACATCGGTCAAAGTTCAACACTACAAATGGAATGTAGAACGAATCATTACAATAAACTGATGAAAAGTCATCCAGGTGGGTGATTGTCTTCAGGGACCACCAACGTTGACATGTGTATCACTGGAAGCTAGCACGCAATTAATAACCATCACGGTTTTCGGAGGGAAAGAACAAGAGATTAAGTTGTAGATCTTAAATGTATGTAAATGCTGGGAAACTTCACTCGCCCAGGTCTAAGATCATACTGGCCAAGAAACGGGAAAGATGATCTGCAAGTTGCTGGGCTGAAAGCGCCAATCAAAAATAAACAGAGAGAAGTAAAAAAAGTCAATACGGAAACATTTCTTCCAGATATAAGATCAAGATATGTATTAACTTTCAAACTACAGTCCCGAATAGGACGGAAACAGAATAAATTACCATGGTTAATGGTTGTGATTATATCAAAACTGAGTCGGTGCTGGAGTATTACTTAAAAAAGTATAATTTAACTAACGTTTCGGGCCTTTATGGGTCCTATTTCAAGGTACAAAACGTTGTCAATTATTTTTTTTTTAACGAGGGTTCGCAACAGTAGAGGTCATATAAACCCTCAGGGTGCCGGTTTTTTGAAAAAAAAAAAAAAAAAAGAAGCCCATTTGTAAGTATGTCAGGTTCGAATGCAGAGTCGCTGGATTCGAACCCGGGAGGGACCTTTACCTTACAGTGACGAGCGCTGTGACAACGCCTAAACCGTTGCGGCCATCAACGCCCCTCAATTATTGTTGTTGAATAATATAGGCAGTCTTTTTTATTAGCAAAGTACCAAAGTCTAAGATGTACGTTATGAAACAACAGTATATCGATTAATACCAACTTGGTGGTTCGACGACCCTATTAACTGTACTGGAGATCTCAGTTCATCTTTGGGTATCTTATATATATATTATGCAGGGTGGGCGACCAAGACCCGAGGGGTTAAATGCCTGGGTAGACTCGTACCCCATCTTTGGGTATGTTACGGACCATGTGTAACGCTAGTTGGAGGCCTGAGCCTTTCTCTGTTTTTTATTTTTTATTATTTTATTAAAGCTTTCGCTTCTTCGTACAGCCCTTTCTGCAAGGCATTAGAGCGAGGATGTCCTGGGCTGGTCGTATGCTGAGAACACTATTCTTTTACAAATTTCTTAAACGGTGCTGAGGTGTACTGAGTTCCATTATCGCTTATTAGGAGTGAAAGTATACCGTGTACTGCAAACCATGATTTTAAAGGTTAACTGTGGACAGAAACAATAATAACAGTAATCCCATTACATGGTGTCGAAACCCGGTTCGAACACATCAGTGAATGTCATCGGATAAAGGAAAAGATAAAGGGAGTAAGGAGAACAAAATAACACACAAGCCCGAAGTGACTGAAGGAGCAGCAATGGTGAGTCTAAAACCACCCAGTTTTTTGCAGATTAATGCGTCCTCCGAGACGACCATGTGATGGAAACAATGGGAGCAACAATTTGACTTCTCCGCAGTAGCAACTCGTCTGTCTGAACAGTCAGAGAAGGTGAAATTCATGGTTGCGATTGGACCATACTGCCGATATAAAACACATTTGGGAACGTCGAGAAGAGCACATTAAAGATAAGAAATTGGAGCGAACGTGATACAACGAATAAGCAAAACATGTATGGCGAACTAAAAGACTAACTTAAGAGAGACTAAATAGTTCATGGAATTCATAGTAAGTAAGGGAACTACCATTAGGGGATAGAAATAAAAGAGGTGGCCACAAGGCCTACTGCACCTCGACCTGAAAGATCTATTGTGTTCCCTTATTATTTATAACTCACTGACCAGCTTCAGGTTATTAACCAGTCTCCACAGCTTTGCCAGAGGTTCCTTGGTGTAGGATCTTGCTTGTGGTTTTTCTCGTCCTAGTTGCAAGAACCTGCATCTACATAGACCTTCTCAGAAACTGCCGTTAAGAGAAGACGACCTGATTTTCGACAAGGCTATGCAAATATGTAGAAATTCAGTACAAATCACGTTTCAATTAAAAACAACGGATGCAAGAAAAAGTCACGCAATCACCGCCAAGGACACGGAACTAGCAAGAAGGAAGAATTCGACTGCTCAAGATATGGCACAAGTCACCAGAGGAACTCATGCCCAGTCATGAATAAAACAAGTGTCAAAGATATGGCCATTTTGCCAGTGCCTATAAATCAGCATGGACAAAGAAGATACAAATAATATGGAATAGCGATCATGAGGAAGATCAAAAATGTTAACACACATCGAAAACAGGAAATGTGGACGGAAACATTAATACTAACAGTAATCCCATTGCTATGTACCATGGATCAGTTATTTCAAAGTTACAAGTAGTAATCCATTTATGTATATTGGTCTAGTTGACCAAATTACTTATTTCAATTAATTATTGTTTTGGTCTTGGTTGAGAAGAAAAAGCTAGTGTCACGAGCGGGATTCGAACCCACGACCTTCGGCTCAATACGCCGCTGCTCTAGCCACTTGAGCTATCATGACTTCGATCCACTCGGACACCAACTCCCCATCTCAATCTGCAGTTACAAGTAATGTTGATGACTACGTTGATAGTAATCTGGATTGGGTGTGAATAATACTCTTTTTAAAACCAGAAAATGACCTAGATCAGCGTTGAGATTTGTTTGTATTCAGTCCCTCTTAAGA